CTTCTGACCTTCCTGAAGAGTCTCCCATGATCTGGATTTCCCTCCTCTTCTCCTAAGCATTTCCCCCACTGCTTCTGCCTTCCCATTACTTCTCCAGGACACTGTCTTTGTGACCTGTCACCTTCTCGTTACCCCCACATTTGTGTCATTGTCACCTGCCCCATCCTGCTCCTCTCCCAGTCCCAGAATAGCACATCTACCCTTGAACTGAGGACGTCTCGAGGTCTGCATTTTTTAGAGGAAGACCCCTCACTTGATGCGGTTTCAGAACGTGCCCAGCTAGCCTGGGGGAAGTGTGGGGTGCCATCCACCCAGACGCGCCTGGCTTTGGCAGCCAGAGCCGAGCCCTGGCCTGGCCTCAGGCTGACCTCCCCTCCGTCTCTCCGGGAACCCTGCCCTCTGAATGGATGATACTTGGCGTCTCAGCCTCACACTGGATTTTACTTCATAAACAAAAGCAGGCTTTAAATTCTCCCCTGACATCCTTTTAAAGAATTTCATTTGTTATGCCTTTGGAAAATACAGAACTAACAGCTGAGAATTGCAGCAAATGACCATATGGGCCACATACCATTAATAAAAGTGGAATGGAAAAGGCGCCACAGCAAAATAATATTTTCAATCATGGAGCTATTTTCTGTCATCTTTGTGAGGCTCAGTAAATTGCTCCACAACTTCCAGAAATTCCCATTTAGTTGTAACAATGTTAGAACATGAGTAATCTTTGTGTCGTCAGTGTTTCTGAGTTCCTGTTTGAATAATCTCTTCCTACTGCCCATGCCAGTAACCTGAAGCAAATAATTGAATAACCCAAGTAAATGCTGGCAGCTTCTGCCACTTGGTGGAAAAGCCAATATATTTTGCACTGTAATATGAATGTGAATAAGTTTGGTGGCATTTTTATTTTGCTTATTCTCCAATTCATTGGGATTTTTATTTGTTAGTTTGTTTATTTGTGCTTTTCATTTCAAAATAATACTTGGTTTTATTGCTTCGTGTACTTAAGAAGGAAACGTGGCTCAAGAATTAGGCTTTTATTTGTTAAAGCCAGTAGTAAAGTGGTCTGAGAGAAGGTGCAACATGCAACATGAAGTCAGACGTAAAGGTGCCCTTGATCCAGGAGTGCTGAGTACATTGAATTCTGTCCTTAAAAGCTCTTCACCAAAAAGCTACCCAAGTGCCCATGACCTTTAAATTAAATAGGACTCACTATGAGGCTCCACTGTGGCTGCTCCCAGCCCAAAAGTCACTCCTAGATCTGTGTCATGTAGGAGTGGGAGCTGCTGTGTCTGTCTCAGGGGTTGCCAGGCGTCACAACCAGGCAGCCGGCAGCTCCAGCCAGGCTGCCCCCAGCGTGTGGCTCTGGAGTCCGCAGCCTCATGCATCCTTCTCCAGGGCATAAAGGTCAGGGAGCTGCCTGCTCTGTAGACTTGGGGGTTTCAGAAGGCGGGATGGAGGGCCAGAGATTAATGAAGTACGTAATTAAGTGGAGAGAGTGGCTGGGCTAGAGGAAGTGTCCGTGTGTGTGTCTGAGCACAGACATTAAAGGCTAAGGGCAGATTGGGGGATCCGGAACCTTTAGGACAGCAGCGAGGGAGCCCAGAGCCCCTGGGGTTTCCAAGCGCCAGCCTGTCTCTGCTGAATCTCCTTCTTGGCATGTTTCCTGCCCAGATACAGTCGAGCATCTTCTCCCTCTCGCCCCTCCTGCAGATGTCATGGGAAATGGTCCAGCTCCATCTGGAGGTGGGTTGGACACAGGGAGCCTGCTTCCACGGCATGCCCCAAATCAGAGGGGCTCAAACACCCCAATCCTACCTGTAGAATCTTCAGCGCATTTTTTTTTTCATTGAAAACCAGGAGAAAGCAGAGCTCTTTGAGCAGGGAACAATTGTGTACTAAGGTTCCCACATAAAGAGTCAAATAAACCTTTTGCTGTCATACAAAGCAGACCACGTGTGTAGACCCCAGTTTCTGCAGCTCCTGATAGCCTCTGTGCCCTTTGTCCATGAGGTGAATTGTTTGTGCCCAAGCTAGGATAGAACCCCCAATCTCTTATGAAAGTGTGTACCTGGATCCCTGAGACATGCAGGCCTGATTTTATATGTTTATAAATGTATTATAATGACCGTGATAAATCTAACCCCAAACAGAAATTAGGCATTCCAAGCCGAAAGTAACTGGCTTTGGGGTTATCCGCTACTGGAGATGCTTCTCTTGGACTAGGAGTCAATAACCCATGGCTTGCCTCGGTAACAGGCGGACAGCAATGGTTCCTTTCTAGTTAGTTAAAATCAATGCTAATGCCACCGTGAGTGCAGCCCCCAGCCCTGTCAGGTTCAATGCAAAGCACCCTTCCGAAGCCTTACATCCCCATCCTTGTACGTTTCCTCTTCCCGGAGGGCTGCTGGTGTCAGATACTTAGAGGTGCTCTGTTCAATATTTAAAGTTGGACACCCTGTGGGTATTTTTGTAGCAACATTGGTGATTCAGAAAAGAGAGGGGAAACGTAGTGACTTTGCTTGTGACATGAGTGTGGCTCTATCGCATTTTGAGCAGCATCGTGAGCCCCTGCTAATTTTATCCTAACCACAGAGAACCCTGCTGCAGCTCACTAGACAGTGTGCATCAAGAATAAGATAAACATGACTTTTATAAAACCAACTCTGCTCCGTCAGCAAATGTACTTTCTCCAATTTATTTGGACACGATTGTTTAATTCTGATTATGACAACAGTTCACAGCACAGTAGCAAATTGATTCTAGTGTGTTCTGTAAAAAATTAACAGAGACCCTGGAATTAGAGGCTGGCTGCAGATCTCTGGTGTTGAATCCTTGCTGATAAACAGCACACAGTTGCCAGGTGTTTGTGCAAATTACTTAGTTTAGACTAGAGGTTAGCAAAATTAGAATCAGCTATGTTCTGATGTGCTCATTCATCCACTCTTTTTAGAAAAACATTAAATTCATCAGTCAAAATTTGATAAGCAGCATACTTAAGGAGCTGGAGCTTCCTCGTTGCTTGTTTGTGACAGCAAGGTTTATGTGGAATCAGAGCAAACATGCCATTTTCACAAAGTAGACTCCAAATTCTAATACCTTTGATTGACACGTGATGAGTGATTTTAAAGGCCCGTGTGTCTCTGCATTAGGAGGAAGCAAGCTTTCTGCATTCTACTTTCCCCATTGTAAGCACTCATTAAACATGTATGGAGTAGAATCATGTATTTTGATTAAATTTAGTCCTACTTTATGTCTCAGTTATTTGTTCCGAGAAGCATCGTTTTATATTTGGCCCCACCCAAAAGGTAGGACTGCTTGAAATGCCATCCTCGTAGTTGTTGGCAAGCTACCTCTTCTATGTCAGATTCCACAATGAATGGCCTCTTTCAGAATTCTATGAAGGGCAGAGTAATAGTGGGTCAACTTCAGAAGGTTGTTGTTGTATAGTGAAAGTCATTATCATGAAACTTCAGGTAGGGAAAAAAGGCAAGTCATTCCTTTTCCTCTAAGAGAAGCAGTTCTTTCTATGTTCCTAAGAGCTGTGAACTTCTTAGTCTAAAAAGAATCAACAGGAGGTGTTTATGTGGGGAGGAGACCAGGAGAAGGTCAGGAGAGAACTGGGGACCCTCGCAGAGCTCCCGAGGCTGAGGCATGCTGAGTCCCGATGCCACTCGGGACTCCTTATTCCTCTCTAGCTCCGCTTTAAGCTCCCGTTTCATCTGCAGCAGGATGACACTGACTTCAGGCCATGTGTCCTGACTGAGGACAGGAAGGGCTGTGCCAGTGTGGAAATCCCTCCTTGGGTCAGGCTTTCTGTTGCCCAGGAGCCTCATGTAGCTGCCACTGCCGCAGCAGCAGCACCCCAAGTCCCAGTGGATAGACAGTGTCTGTCACAGGTGCCCCAGGCCAGCTGTGCTCGCCACATGGCTCGAAAGGCCCAGAGATCAGGATGTGTCAGCAATCTGCTGGCCGGCTTTGGTGCTGACACGCTGAGCCCTGCCCAGCTCTATCCAGTCATTTATGGACTCACAGCAAGTTCATTCCATTAGCGTCTCCACCTCATGCACTGTCTGGGCCCTGGGATACGGCCATGCCCAGAAGAGAAGAAACGCTTGCTCTCATGCAGCTTAAGTTCTTGCAGGATCCTCATCATAGTGGGGCCCTTGAGGATTGTTGATCAAAACCAGGTGATCGATGGTGTCTTTCAAAGGACTCCTAGAGACCCTCGCATGACCTGACACTAACACAGCCCCTCCTTCCTACTAGCTCACCTGGATGGGCAGCCAAGGGGCCTTCTGTGGCATGGTGGTCCCCTGGCTCCCACCAGGGACGAGGTGGGGCAAGCAGACTCCTCCTCTTCAAGGTAGTGATTTCCGGCCCAGGGCAGCCCTTCAAGACAGTTTGAAGATTTGCCACTCCCCAGAATTTAGAGTTTTTGAAAAGCATGGATTAGAGAGTCATTTCTGTGGAACTGGAAATCCATTCAGAAGCTCTGTGGGAACAGGACAGGCCCGGGACCGACCTTCCTGAGTGGTCTCTTTAGGGGCCTTGCCCCTGTTGCTTTTAACATTTTTCAGCTGGAGGGAGATGCTGCACTGAATCTGTGGCAGAGTGGCAGGAAGCAGAGTGGCAGGAAGAGTGGGTTGCGGAGAGCTCTCGGCTGGGAAGCTCACTTCCAGGCCCACCGCACTCTCTCAGAGGTTACTTGTTCGGCAAGTTGAAGCTGGAGACGTGTGTTCACCTCACTCCTTGGTTTTGTTCTCTGTGACTCTCTTGCCTTTCTTTCCCCACTTCTTACTTCTGCCATTGGAAGGAAATGAGGGACTTTCTATGGCTGGGGACCATCAGAGACCCCCAGGGCTCAGGGATGGCATCTTTCACACGCGGCCAGCCTTCAGCGGCACCCGTGATGAACCCACCGATTTATGTACTATCTGCGCTCAAGTCAAAACGAAGTATGCGTCATGCTGATGATTTCCTCCTCCTCTGTTGAATCATAGTTTGAAAATGAGATCATCACCAAGCTGGATCACGAAGTGGAGGGAGGCCGCGGAGACGAGCAGTACAAAGTGCTGTTCGATAAGATGTAAGTGTTGACGAGCAGTGGGGTCTATGTCAGAGCAGAGTCGGGGAGGCTGTCGTTACACGGCAATGAACTTTGTAGCCCAGAAATGATTAAAATGTGTTAATAATGGGAAACATTTAAAACTGCACCTCCGTTGACGTTTTCTTCCTGAGCGTGATCAGCGAGGTGTGCGTGGTTATTTTCCAGCCTCCTGGAGCACTGCAGGAAGCACAAGTATCTCGCCAAGACCGGGGAGACCTTCGTGAGGCTGGTGGTGCGTCTGATGGAGAGGCTGCTGGACTACAGGACCATCATGCATGACGAGAACAAGGAGAACCGCATGAGCTGCACCGTCAATGTGCTGGTGAGTGGGAAGCTAATCAGGCCCTCCGTCTCTACAGCATGCCCAGAGCCCCCACCTCGGCCTTCCGGGGCCCACCTGACCGTGGGCATGGGGCTCTCCACAGCAGAACATGGCTTCCTTTGCCCGTCTCCTCATCTGCTGCTGCCAGGACCGAGTAATGACCTGATGGCAGATGCACTCTGAACGTGTGCAGAAACAGCTCCCCTGCAGATGTCCCCCCTGCCGTGGTCGAAGGTGGCCAGCCATCTCATTATGTAACCATGGTAGCACCTCGTGGGTCACAGATCTTAAGTCTCTGCTGCTAGGAGTTTAGAAGGTGTCCTCTGGTGAGCGGGGGGCATGGTGGTCTCAGGAAATGCACGCACATCCTGATCCTCAGAACCACGAATGTGCCCTTATCTGGAAAAGAGTCCTTGCACATGTAATTAAGAATCTCGAGACGAGATTATCCTGGATTACCTGGGGACAGGAGAAGAGGGCTAAGTGCAATGACAAATGGTCTCAGAAGATGCGGAAGACCTGGAACAGGAAGGCCACCTGAAGGAGGAGGAGGCAGAGGTCGGAGTGAGGGAGCCACAGCTGCAGAATGCTTGGGCCACCAGAAGCTGTAAGGCACAGGGAGGACCCTGCCCAGAGCCAACAGGAGGGGCACAGCCCTGCCGATGCCTTGACTGTGGACTCCTGGCCTCTAGAACTGTGAGAGGGGGCAATCTGTTCTTGGAGGCCATGAAGTTTGGGGTCATTTTCTTCCAGCAGCTGCAGGAGTCAGTGCAGGGCAGCATTGATGGCAGGTGGCTAGGTGAACTTGGAGACGTCCATGCACTGCTGCTCTGGTGTGGCTGGGTCTGTGGACATGCCCTTCCTGAGGTACGCCCAGGAAATCCAGTGGAGCTGATGAGCTTGATGACACCAGGGCTCAAGTCCAGGGAGTGGCTGGCAAGCCCCACAGCTCTGAGCAGCCACACGGCTCTCACACCCAGAGCTCCTGCTTCCTCCTGGGCTCCAGATCCCTGCCTTCAGTTCCCGGCCGTCAGCCTCTGGATTTCAGAGCCCTCGCCTACCTGCCATTGGCCAACAAACAGATGCTTCCCCTAACTTCCACAGCTGTTATTTGCAGGTGCTTGGAGCTCACAAAATGGACTTTCCTGCCAGGAGGAATGAGACAAGTCACTCATTCCTAAAAAGCTACTCGAGGTGTTTGAATTCAAAAGATTTAAAAAAAAAAGGAGAATTTTCACTTTCTATACACTTTGTGTCAATATTAAATCTGTGTCTTTCCATTAAGAACTCTGCAGCTAAAGCTCATGAGCGGTCCTAGCCCCTTCATCCCGTGGTCAGATAATCTGTTTAGGCTAATATTAAACATTTTGGGTAGCAAGTTTTCTTTTCCTTTAGAAGCCAAATACTGGGTCTTCTGGAGTGCCGTCCAGCACTTGAAGAGCATGGGAATGTCACTGCCTTCCCCTAGAAAAACGTCAAACTGAAGCATCAGCAGCTCCTCTTAGGTCATCTTCTCAGGCAAGCGGCTGCCTCCACCACCACAGAGACAGGAGGCTACAGAGAAGCACAGCTTACTGCAGCAGAATCCCGGGACAGAAATCAGCCTGGGAGCCACAACTAGATGCCTCTTGCTCTTACCCAGTGCATCATTACTGCCTTCAATGTGAATCAAGCACTGAAAACAAGCACAGGTTGAAGACTCAGCAGCCGTTAGAACCCAACTCAGATGGGACAGAGGTTTTGGAATTATCCATCCAGGCATTTGAAACAACCACAAATTATATGCTAAGAGCTCTCTTGACAAAGGGGCTGCTGTGCAAGAACAGACAGGTAATAGATGCAGAAACCGCCCCCACAAATGAGAAATTCAAAACACTCTAACACAATGAAAAATGCCTTGGATAGTCTCGTCATTCAACTGCTCATGACAGAGGGGAAAACGATCAAGCCCCCAAACCTAAGTATGTTTGCTCATGCTAAGAAGAGTCTTGGTCAACCAGAGAGTCACTGGCTCCGGGGTGTGTCCTGAGATCTGTCCCATGGCTCTGTTTGTCTTTGCATTTACCTATAAACTGACCAAGTAGCACAGCAACTCGCTCTGCTCAGGTAGGCTGGCCTGTATCCTAGGCAGAGGAAGTCACGTGACTCTGCCTTCCCAAGTAAGTGACTTTCATGGTGCCAATGTGGTTGATGGAAACAGGAACCAGTGTGTTGCTAGGGGAAGAAACAAAGGTCTTTTCAGAATCCCCCCCACCACCCCACCGCTATGGACATAAAGTTATAGTGCTCCATCTGATCCTTAAGGGACCTCAGGGGCCTGGAGTGTCTATAAGGCAGAATTATTGGTAGGTTTATTAGGGTTCCAATTTTGATGATTAAGACTTGTATTTGTTTTAAGCAAGATCTCTTGTGCTCACCAGAACATGGCACTGGGTGGAGAAGACATGGTGTGCCCTGAATGTGCCTGAATGTGTCACCGGAATTCCCCCTGGAAACACTCTTGTGATGACACCTGCAGTTTGGTTTCCGATGTTGACATGTGTTCCTCCTTGATTGAGAGTCTGATTCAGTGCCCACCTCCTGTCGCTGGGCTTAGCACTCGCTCTGCTTAACCGGGACACACCAGGACAGCCGAGACGATCTCACACTACTAACCCCCTCAACGAGGGACATGCTGAGTCACTTCCTGAGGAGCACAGAGTTCTATTTGAGCTAACCCCTGGGGAAGGTAGAGTGGATCCCAACCCGTTTTAATGTTTTGATATGAAAAAATAAGTCCGTGGGATAAGTAGAAACAAGATGCTAGAGTTTTACAGAGACGTCTCCTACCTCTAAATTTTATATACATACATGAATCTCCTGGTCCATTTTCACCTTTACTTGTAGAAACAAGGATAGTATGGAGATAAATATGTATATCTATCTCTAAATGAATATAGCTATGTTAATGTATATTAGAGGTTCATAAATAGACTCAATTAGTCACTAAGCAGAAATTCTAAAGTTAAAAAATCAAGTGGAAAATCAAGTTAAAAATCAAGTTAGCAGATACAGGGGTGCAGTAACACAGCAGAAATAGCTTCTAATGTTCCATAGTATACAGGAACTATGGTTGGCAATAATTAATTGAATATTTCAAAATGGAAAGTAATTTGAATTTTCCTAGCACAAAGAAATAAATGATAAAGTTCTGAGGGAAAGATGTTTCATTTACCCCGATCCTGTCATTCCGTGCTATGTGTATTGAAATGTCACCCTGTACCCCAAATGCGTACAGTCACTATGTGTCCATTAAAAATAAAAGTACATTTATAAATAAGTTAGCAAATAAAATAGGGAACATAAAATGTGTCAGTGCCCTTTAAGTCTACTGCCAAATTTCCATTTGAGGACCAGTTCTGTGATTTTTTTTTAAAGACCGGGTTTATGGAATATGCTAAGTCATAAGGCTCATTAATACCCTGCTCTTCCCTGCTCTTAAGAAAATCAAAATGGAAAATGAAAAAACAAGGGTCCTGAGCAGTCACTTTGCCCAGTGCTCTAAGTCCCCTGAACGTCCCCTGCAAGCTGCTCTGGGTGTGTGTTGGGTCCTGGTTCCTACCTCACTGACTCTGTAAGCAGCATTCCTTGTCACCTCCACTCAGGGTGTCCCTACTCATTGGTGGCTAACTCGGCGAGTGGCCCCTTGCTCTTGTGCAGTCGCCAGCACGCCCACCTTGCAGGCTGAGAGAGTCGCCTCAGGACAGAGGCCCGTTTCTGTCTCCATGACCCCTTCCAAGGCAATGCATGCCGCGTTGGGACCAGAGTCTTAACAACTTCGCATCTGTTGGAGCAATTCAGGCACCAAAACTGAAACAGTGCACGTGTCTGAGGCCTGGATGTCAAGGCCAGGCAGTCAGGTGGAAGGGATGGGGACACTCTAGTGCCACTGCAGCGGGGCTTTGAGGCCCAGCTGCTGGGAGAGTGAGAGGCGCTGCCGCAGAGCCCAGGGGACACCAGAGCAGCCAGAACTGGACATAAAAGACACAGAGGTTTCCATAGGGATTGGGACTGGAGATGGGGCTCTGCTCTGGAGAGGCTTTGAAGTCCTGGGAAGAGGACACATGTCAATACTGACAGAAAATAGAAGACGTTCTGTGAAAAGAAGGTCACGACATCCCTGCTGTGCAGTTGTGAAGGACAGGGACCCAGCCCTAGGACTGGGTGTAAACACGAGTGGGAAATCGGCCTGTGAACACCAGGGAGCTCGGCCCTTCCTCCGCCTCTACGCAGATGCCCTGGTTACGTCGCCGAGGCTCCAAGCTCTCAACTGGGAACATCCTCATTACCCAGCCACACCCAGGTCCCGCAGCATGTTAGACTGTCAGACACAGCGCAGTGTGGAAGACTTGGTCCCTGTTTCTAAACATGCCCCGCTTGCTTTCTCTACTTACGGATCATCTTGGAAGCAATACTGTCTTTGGCTGATGCAATTAAAGCTCCTCTGCCGTCTGATTGGGGCCTTGTAGGTCTTCATATCACTGATGTTCACCTGTTCCCCTCGGGCACCGATTCTAGGGTGCTAACGTCATTTTCAGGTGTTGAATCTCACATGCCTTGTTGGATGATTTCTGTGCTAGTCTGGGGCCCCAGGTATGATTAAGATTTTAAAGTGTTTGTAGAGAGAGTCACATGAAGAAAGGTGATTTTTACAGAAACGTTTCTGCTCAGCCAGAAGGTCCTTGGCAGTGATTCACACAAGTAGCCCATCAGTTGCAATCTGCTGACCTCTCTGTGCATGAGGGGCCTTTAAGATGCCACTGGTTTTCTCGTGTGCATTGGAAGTATTGAGTGCTGTCCAATGCACACTCCTGGGAAGAGGGGAGGTTCTATGTGGACCCTGCTCAGTTCAGTAACAATGGCCCCATGTGGCTATTGAGCAGTCCGAGTGTGGCAGGTGCCTGGGAAGGTGAATCGTTAACTTCATATAATGTTTCTTCACCTGTAAACGGCCTCGGCCAGTGGCCACTGTATTGGACACCGAGAGTTAGAATATCGCAAAGGCTTCTCTAGCTCCTGCTGCACTGGGGCCCCTCCTGCTCAAAACCATGTGGGTGCTGCTTCTTTGCCTATCCCAAATCCAGGTTGTTGGAATGAGATTGCAGCAGTTAAGAGATCCTGTCTGTGGCTAGCACCTTGTTTTAACTGACGACAGGTGACTTTCACATGACCAACAGAAGTAGACTGAGTCATCAGGTTTCCAAGTGCAGGAAGCCAGGTCACGAGGAAAGCAAAGCACGGGAGTGACAGCGGGAGGTGGTAACTTGTGTGAATCTACAGCTCTCTCCAAAGAGCTGGGTCCCTGAGCCCAGGTTTGACACAAGTTGAAGAAACTTGGATTTTTAATGTGGCATGACACTCTTCATGGAACAGGTTTTTAAAAACAATATGTGGCTTAATTTTTCAGAATTTCTACAAAGAAATTGAAAGAGAAGAAATGTATCTAAGGTAGGTCTTCACGCTGCTCACTGTAATTGCTGTTTGGCAAATCCACGTTAAGAATCGAGTATAACCTCAGCAGTTAATTCATAGGAAATTATGATTCCCCTGACATTGCGTTTGGGGGTCCCCAGGTCTGTTCTCAGCCTGTATAGCTGATCCCCAACAATACAGGATTTGGAGGTTACATTTAGCCAACTCAGAGGCAAAACTATAAATGATTATTTTACGGCTTCTATACCCCTGTGACCAACTCATATGGCCCTTTTAGGGGAAAAAAATGACTGATTTTAATGTTTCACAGTAGCTCATCTGATTAAGTGAGACGTCCAGTTATAAATTTACCAGAAATAGACAGTATTATGAATTTTCAGTCTCCTCTCACTTAACTCACTCCAAATCCCCATGTTTCTAGATTTTGCTCCCTCACCTGGTTTCCCATCCAGGATAAGACAGGGCTGGGAGAGCTCCACCGCAATGCACTTGCCTCCACGCACCAGGCCCCGGTCAGATCCTCAGTGACACAGGGGAAAACATGCTAGTGACAGTGACGCACCAGGATTAGGTCTGTCTCTCTCCTGGTCACTGTTAGGGTCCAGTGTCAATTAATTACCAAGATCAACACTTGGAAAAACAGGCTAAGCATAAACTCTACATGGCATTAGTGTTTGAGGATATATTTATTTCGGTGAGTGTGTGTTTTCTTCCTTCTCCTTCAAAACCAGCAACTGACTATTATACTTGGGAAAACAATCCGCTTCCTTCATCCAAAATGTATCTTGCTCTATATTAAAAAGCAACCATTATTTCTTTATAGCAGAGAAGCTCTTTCGATCGTATTCACCGTGATTGGGGGAGCTCTTTATTCTTAGGGATTTGGATCCCTATGGATTTCTTGTGCATTTGAATTCAATAGACACGTAGGAAATGACAATTGAGATTGTGTAATCTCATTTCAAATGACTGAGGGAAAATCTGGGAAAGATTAAAAAGAATAAGACAGCTTGAAGTGAAATCCTACCTTTTTCATCTTCATTTTTTATATTGAAAAGACTTAAAATTTAAAATACATGTGTCCATATGTACATGTGTGTTCATATCTATCTACCTATCTATCCAAGAATGTATTTACTCTCATTGGGGCTTTTAGTGCTTTTTTTTCATTGAAAGTTTTTGAGGCATTATGAATCATGAACATTATAAAAAGACATGCAGATAGGAGTTACTGTTGAATGTTGAATTTAGCTCCTGCAATCCTCCACACAAATTATTCCGTGTCCTTTTAAGCACGCACCTCTCTTTCGTCATCTCAGGTACTTGTACAAGCTCTGTGACCTGCACAAAGAGTGTGATAACTACACTGAAGCGGCTTACACCTTGCTGCTCCATGCAAAGCTACTTAAGGTAATAAAAATCATCAGGCACTTTTATGATTCTGTTGTTATAGAGTCAAAGATTATTCTAAATATTATTTTGCTGTTACAGATTTTAGGATATTTATTTTATGGATATTTAGTAACTGCAACAACATAAACAAAAATGTTGAGAAAGTACGAATGTCATTATGGACTCGGCCCTGCTGAATGCAGACTTAGCAAGATGCCAGGCAGTCCCAGCTCCCACCATCAGGCTCTGAGGTGGCAGCAATTTAGAGATTCTGAAATTCCTCTTTCCTGGCAACAGGACTCAGTAATGATGGAGAACAATGTCAAGAAGGACCATCCATGGTGGAGCAATGAGACACGCCCCTAATTATCCCCCCCGGCAAAGAGCGTAGGGACCAGATCCTGCCATTTCTGCTGAGCAGTTCATGCTGAGACCTCCTTTCACTGTCCTCTGCCTTATTCTGTAGTGTTGCTCGGAAGCACAGGTCTGGCATGGCCACCTCTGGTTCTCGGTGCTTCTTTTATTACACGGGTAGCTTTAGACAGGGTTTCTTGTTGCAGTTACATGTTTGTGACCCCCATGCCCAATTCCAGCAGTGAAGAGTACAGAGAGGACCCTCAGTGAGTAACCAGAATAGGTGGGTGGACAGAGGCACAGGTGGATGGATGATGGACAGAGAGGGGTGGGGACAGGTGGTTATGGAAATTGCCGTACAGCCTTTCGGTTTATGATTTAGAATTTCAGCAGGTCATGAGGTTTTTCTACTCATGACATCCTTATAACTATTAGGAAATACTGAACCAGGTGGAGAACAATTAGAATTTGGTGAGCCATCCCACAGAGGTTGCTTCCTCAGGGAATCTCACTCCCAGATCTAGGCCCGTCTTCCAGACATCTGAAGTGGAATAGCACAGGACCAAAGAAAGTGTGATTAAATGGGCAGGAAGTGGGGCCTGTCGGGCAGGGGGGGGTCAGGACGGAGCTAGGGAGGAAGACTCCTTCAGCTTGGGAGCCCCAAGTTAAATGGTGAATGTCACATTATCTCTCTCCCTAAAGTCCCCCGTAGCGTCTGTGACATGAGCAACAGCGGCTTCTCCGCAGGGCTTGAGTGTGGACATTACTTCTGTCTCGAAGCAGAAGGGCTCAGCCCTCATCCCGGGCGCCTCTCGGTAGTGCTCTGAGGCTAGCTGCCAGAGGAGCCGTTTGGCCTCCTGACCGTCGAAGCTCCCCAACAGCAATCCTTTATAAAGACAGGGATTTCAGGGAGTGCATCTGACCGCAGCCACCCCCTGTGAATTCCACTAGTCTTTGTTTACCAGAAATCCAAATTTCAATAACAAGGTGTGTAGCAAATGTCAGAGTCTTTTTTTTTATATACCAGGGAGATTAAAATGGGATTGACAACTACTTTCTCACTCTGTCTCTCACATAGAACATAAACTTTTATATGCATATGTGAATGTAAAACATACACGTGTGTAAACACAACGTTTGGTTAATCACTGGATTTATCGGGTACAGCTGGGTCTACCACAGATCGCATGATGGCTTATCTCACAGCCCAAATCAAGAGGCCCAATCGCATGCTCTTTTCCACTGGGTTCTGGGTTTTGTAGTTAAATGGTGAATGTTAGATTATCTCTCTCCATATCTCTTACACCATTACATTTTGCAAATTTTCCTGAATTTATTTGGATATTGCTGTAAATGTGGATTCATAGTGGTTAATCAACTTGCTAAACAACATAATTTGTATTGCTATGAAAATTCTTGAACATGACAAATATGTTCTTGTTTGCTGACTAAAATCCTTAAATAGAAGCTTCTTTTTTGTCTAAGGATATTTTTGGCCAGAAACAAGAGCAATGAAGACATTAGTTTATAGCTTAGCAATCAAGTTCTTTTATCACCATTTTAAGTGGAAGGTACAGAGAATTTTTGTTTCCCTATTCAAATATGTTTCATTTTTACAAACTGGTTTTAAAATCCAAAGAAGTCTGAACCTTCTTACTCTTTTTTATTGCAGTTACATTTCAGAACCATCGAAAGTTTTATTTTTATCCCCCACCCCTAACAAAAGTAGCCACAGCCCCGGCTAAGTTGTACCAGCCACCTGCAAAGGCAGCAGCTTTGCCCCTTCCCCTGGTGGCAGGTCTGCAAGTCGGGTTGTCTGGCTCTGCCCCACAGGCCTAAGGTGGGGAGGCCGGCAGGTCCTCCCTGCCTCCTGTCCTTGGAGCCCTGAGGGCCAGCTCAAGCTGTCCAGGGCCTTGGCTGCAGAAAGGTGGCTGGGCAGGTACTGCGAGAGCAAGCCTCTAGGTGGCCTTGCCGTGCTCCTGGGGCCTGCCAGGCAGGCCAGCCTCAGTCCCTCTGGCCCTTGCGCTAGGCCACAGTTGTTCCCAGCTCTCTACTCCCCGTACAGCTCCCCTCATTTTTCATCAGCCGTGTGGCCCCCGACACACGCCACACAGCTGATGCCCTTGTTCAGATGTGGCCTCCCCAGCACCGAGTCCATCTGGACATCTGCCATGGCCCTTCCATTGTGGACTCTCCTGTGTCCAGGCAGCCAGTTGTCATTGCCTTATGTCCTTATGCTGTCACCCCTAATTACACCGGCTCTGGGTGGCGGGGAGCCTGGAGGTCAGGCTCCTTCTCACTCATCTTTGATCTAGAGCCTGGCACATAGTAGGTCATGGAGCCCTCTACCTAATGCTATTGATGTGTTGAGCCAAAGTTCCGGAGCTTACGTGCCTCACCTGTCAGATAGCCACACCTTCTCTCTGATGCATCCTCAGTTCACAGGAGAATTGGCCAGTCTGTGCCAGGCCCTGGCCTGTGGTTAAATCTGCAAAGAGCTGCCTGTTTTTAGGGCATCATCTGTATTAATTGATGGACTGTTGGATCCCTGTCCTGACGACCTGTGATCCACATACCTTCTTTGTGTGGAGCATAAAGGCCCACATGACAGAGAGCTTTGCCGGTTGCCAACTTGAGACGGCCTCTGTCACCTGGCTCTTAATGAACCCCGCGCTTCAGGGGTCTGTCGACAAGCTGATGGCTCTGCTTTCCAGAATTCCTGGGGTTCTCTTCTCTATGAATCTGACCACAACTCTGCCTCCCTCATCTTTCTGGGCCCCTGGACGGGCTTTGCTCTGCCATCCCAGGCCTTGGCAGCCTGATGACAGAGCCAGCCATACCTGCCTAGAATCGGGGCACACAGACACGCGCCTGACACGGAGCTCCCACCGCGTCATGGCCCCCGAGGTGACAGTGCTCTCCTAGACACACCCCGCCCAGCACTGCTAATGCTCTGCTTTTGCCCCAGTGGTCGGAGGACGTGTGCGTGGCCCACCTGACACAGCGGGACGGCTACCAGGCCACCACGCAGGGACAGCTGAAGGAGCAGCTCTACCAAGAAATCATCCACTACTTCGACAAAGGCAAGGTAAAATGATCATTTTCTTGTTTTCCTTTTATGTGAACCTCCCCACGGCTCTGTAAACACACATTTTAACTTGTGATGTTTGCAGAACCAGAAATTTGTTGCAAATTGTGTACTGAAATATTTTATGCATGTTCCTCCAGCTTGTGCTTACAAGTATACATCTTTTTTTTTTCTTTTAAGTCAATAGCCTCTTTTAAAATGCTCTGCAGATTGTAAGGACTGAAAATGCACCCATATTTTTAAGGCTATTGCTGGGGGAACCGAGTCGGGGACAGTGGTTCAGATGGGTCTCTGCCCTTGGAGTGACTGTGTTCCTTTGACATCTTGCGCTTCTCTGTGGTCACAGAAAAGTCGATTCTGCAGTGGAACATGGGTCATACACGTGGGCAGTGTCTAGATTAACTGACTTTAATTTTGTACTTGTGACCTGTACTCAGAGCAGACCTGCCACCACCTTCACTAGCCATCTTGTCATATCCCGTCACTGTAGTTCTTGTGGTTCAGATGCACAGTCACCATGGAAAAGAGCTGCCTCAGCCTCAGAGGTTCTTCACAGCTGCCACCAACGTGACCTCAGAACTCCTCCTGGGGTCCTTCACGCCTCTGGGTCTGTGTCTTTTCCTCTTTGAGAGAAGTGACATATGGGTTCCACGAAGGAAGCTCTGCGCATGTCCTTGGCTGTGCCATGGCACCTCCAAGAGGCTTTAAGCAACAGAACCCTCTCTAGTCCTAAGTCAAAGCACCTGCGGGGCGGGGCCTGCCCTGGAGGCTGTGGGGAGGAGGCCTTTCCTGTCCCTGGCTCACGGCTGAGTGGCTGGCAGTCCTTGGCATTTGCTCCCTGTGGACACATCCCCCACGTCAGTCTCTGCCCTGGTCATCGCATGACGTCTCCCAGTGGGTGTCTCTGTCCACCTTTCCCTCTTCCTGTGAGGACACTGGCCACTGGGTTAGGGCTCGCCCCTCTCCGGCACAGCCTCGTCTCAACTTGGTTATATTCAAAGCCCCTGTTTGCAAACATCATGTTCCTAGATACCAGGGCTTGGGACTGCACTTAGCTTCTTGGGGACACTTTTCCACCCTCAACAGCAACCATGCCAGGAGGGGTGGTGGCTGCTTCTCTTTGGCTGACTGCAGAATCCCTGTGGCACCAGCTCAGGATTCTCCTTGTTTCTGAAGTGACCATTCATGTACCTGTTTTTGTCCCTTAATGTCCTTAATGTGGGAAACAAGTCCCAAATCTTTACAATGCCCTGTGGCCCATACAAAGGCCACTTGGAAAGACAGGTCAGAAGTGTTGTGTGACTTGCACCCCCTTGGGGGATCGGGGGAAGCAAATGTATTTCTTCATATAAATGAGAAGCTCTCACCATTGGGGCCATTTTCCAGTTTTATTGGCTTGGCCAGGGGAATCCACTTCTCAGAAGATGGCTAAAGATATGGAGTGGGCCCAGCTGTTCCTTCCCCCAGCGGCTTCCTGCTCAGTGGTGTTCTAGAGAGGGGCCATCAGGTGTTGGGAAGTGTCCAGAGCCAGAGATGGAGCCCCTGGAGCCCTGGAAAGCCCAAGGCCCAAGGCCCTCGGGCTGGGAATCTGTGCCTCCTGCAGGCAGTGGCCCTGCCACCTCTGACCTCCCCTCCCTCACTCTGGGTTCCAGCCACTCGGCCCCTTTGGGGTCCTGAGCTCCAGCCCTGCCCAGCAGGCCCTACTGCCTGTCCCTTGGTGCATTTCTTCCCATCTCAGCCAGAATGTCACTTCCTCTCCAGCCCCTAAGACATCCTAGGCCATTCTTTAGAGCTCTTATGACAATTTGCAATGAGGAATTTCCTATGTGTGACTTTAATGACTCCCCCAAGAAGCTATGAGCACTAGGAAATAGAGGCTCCCACGTTCCTCCCCCATGGAGCTGAGGCTGAGGCTGCCCGCACACAGCCCGAGCCCACTGGGCGTTCGTTGAATGGCTGAACCAACAAGGGAACCCCCAGCATTCCACAGCTTCCCGACGGACAGTGAAACGCTCCAGATAGCAGGATTCTCAGCCTCCAATATGACAAACTGAAGAACAACGTCTTTTTTAAAGCAGAGATAGCCTAATTATCTCTTCTATGCAATGATGGTTCATCAAAAAAATCACACGGAGGGACACAAAGAATGTTTCAGGTCAGAACGGTGGTTTACGGCATGGACTGGCTGTCAGACAGCCAGTCTCTCCCACCTGTGGGTGAGGCTGAGGAGGCAGCTGAGCCTCCCACAGCACACTGGGACCCCAAGCCGAGAGCGAGTCCGGCCCAGAGCACCAGCAGAACCCAGGCTAAAAGGCCTGGCTTAGAGAAAACTAATCTAGGTGATAAAATGGGATGACATGAAGGGGAGCCCATGGGCACTGTCCTCAGATTCCTGGTGTTTTGGTGGAGTCAGAAGGACGGCCACGGTGACATGACCTGTAGCCGACCTTGAGTCAGAGGGGATTCGGGGAAGTTGTCTTCCAGCACCTGTTCAAGGTGTCATGATAAAACCGCGAGCTTGGAAAGCCATTTCTGAGTGCCCGTGACATTTCTAGAAGGGTTTGGGAAAGGAGTGACCTCTGCCGATGCTCGAGAACTAGAGTGGCCAGAGCATAGGGGCCTGAGAGATCAGAGAGGATGAAGCGTGAAGTACCGGGGATTGGCTGTGAGGCAAAACGTCCATTTTAACCCCAACAAGCATTCAACTTTCTGGAGAAAAGAGAAATAGCAAATAATTACCTTCCGTGCCAGCCTGGGCGAGCTGGAATGTGCTGGAATTTTGACTCTGAAACTCCAGAGCTCCAGGTAACATGGGCCTGCTTCCCCGTCTTGGTCTATACCCATTCAGTGTCCAGGTGAGTGGAGGTTCTGCCACGTGGGTGTGGCCAGGGGAGGGACGGGGAGGGGTTACTGGCCTGTCCATGCTCTGCTCACTTCATCTGCTGAAGCAGGTCTGTGCCTGCACGAGACTTCAGTGGGTAGGCAAGAGCCCAGAGGGCAGGGCAAGGTGAGCAGCACCTGCTTGCACCACAGCATGGACCAGACAGGGAGGTGGACTCCTCATCCAGAGTACTCAAGGCCCAGGAGCACAAGCGTAGACATTACCAAAGCACGCAGTCCTTCTAAGAGAAGAACTTCCCACAACTGGAGTGTAAGAGTAGCCTTGTCTCTTAGAAGTTGGCTTTGGGCCTTTCCCCTGACCTCATCATAGCTGACTGAGTGTCTTTCCTCTTTGCAAGGGGACTTGGTAGGTGACAATGCAGAAGCACCTGAGAAACTGGGCTCCTACACCCATCTCCTGACCAGGATACCGGAATCTTACCAGGTGGGGGCTGAGGGAGGTGGGGCACAGAGGAAGATCAACTCTGGGCAGGATTTAGAATCTCTTCCATTTAGGAAATAAGGCCAAGGCACGAGGTCTCTACCAGGCTTGTGTGTATGTGGTAACTTGAGAAATAACAGCGGTCACTCCTTTCTTAGAAGAAATGGAATCATGGGGGGCTAAGACCATTGCTGACCACTAAGAAGCTCTGGGTAGGAAGGCCCTTCCTCAGTTGCAATTGTCATAGTTTAAAAGTGTTTCAAAATGGCTCGCAGGTGATGGTTGGTGTGTGACATGTCCGAAGGAAACTTGAAGGGAGATTTCGGTTAATGAGGGACCCTGTGTTTGGTACGCAAGAAACCAAATTCCAAGCTGGGGATAGGATGGGACTCTGCCCTACGCTGTCCAGTAGTGGTCCATAAACCACTTGCAGGCCATTGGCACTTATAGGGTGACCTGTCCCAGATGAGCTGTGCCCTCAGTCTACAGTACATACTGTACTTCCAGGACTTAATGCAAAAAGAAAAGAAAAAAAAGATTGTTATATAGGCTGATTTGTGTCCTCCCAAAATTCATTTGTTGAAGTCCCAATGCCCCAAACCTACAAATGGAAACGTGTTTGGAGAAGGGGTCATTTGAGAGGTAGTTAGGGTACAATGAGGCCATTAGGATGAGCCCTAATCTAGTCCGACTTACAAGAAGAGGAGATTGGACACAGACATTCCTCAAGGGAAGTCCATGTGGAGACACGGCCAGAAGGTGCCGACTGCAAGCCATGCAGAGAGGCCTCTGAAGGAACTAGCACTACCAGTGCCTTCATCTTGGACTTCTGACCTCCAGAAATAAATCTCTGTTGTTCAAGGAACCTAGCTAGTAGCAAGTCAGGACTTCATTACAGCTGCCCTAGCAAACTAATAAGAATGTCAAGTATCTCATTAAGTTTTTTGCCTTGATTACATATTGAAATGACGATGTTTTAGATATGTTAAGTATTACTAAAATTAATTTTAATTTTTAATGTAGTAACTAGAACATTTAAAATTACATATGTAGCCCACGTTGCATTTCTATTGGACACTGCTGCCTTGAGCCAAGACTTTTTCTCATTAAGCACCAAAAATGCTATTTAACTAGCACATTCCTCCACATGTTGGCGGGAAATGGAAGCTTATTGCATATCCTTTGGGTCCACCACAGGCAGCCAGAACCCCACATGTGCCTGTTGGTATGCATTCCTTACCTTAAATGAGTACGTGAGAAGATGAAATATATCTAAAATGAATGAGAAAATGCAAACCAAAGCCAGGAAAGAATAGAACTTATGTCAGAAGGACGAGAGAAATATAATAAGCACCAAAATAAGGTGTTTTTCTCCTGTGACCCAATGTCATCTCTGTGCTTTTGAAATAAATGCCAGGGTTAGTGGAGCTGCGAGCATCAGGGCCTCTGGAGAATGAGCAAACTGGGGCTCCATCTGACCCTGAGGAGACGGGGACAAGGCCCAGGGCAGAGAGCACAGCTGTGAAGAGAAGCTCTAAGAACCACGGAGAAGAAGCATCACCAGTTTTCTGGAACTTACTGTCATTGTCACGATGATTTCCCTTTTCATTTCCTGACTCTGGCTTGTAAGGAGGTTGTAGGTCAGAAAAAGACAAGTTCTTGCAAGGACGAGGCTGGCCTTCCTGACTAGAGTCCTGTAGTCTGTTAAAAATGACCACCTTCCGTCGGAATGACCACCACAGTAGGCTGAGTGACTGAGGTTGCCTACGGACGGGCAGGGCCACCGGCCTCCACCAGGCTGCTTGCCTTATTGGATGACCCGGGTTCCGCCAGGCTCAATCTGAGCCTGTACCCACCGCATTCGCAGCGTTTAAATCGCCTGCGTTGCCTTGGTTTGACTTTACACTTAGTGAATTTTAAGGAAACAAATCACAGTTCCTATTTTTCGAAAGTGTCTTTGAGCCAGGGGACCTAATACCTCAGTTGAACCGAAGATTAAGGAGTCCCGGGGTCTGCAAGATTATGAAATGGAAGGCAAAGGCTAGCTCAGTCTGATGAAACCGTGGCGTGGTGGCTCTCTTGATACCGTGTGTCCCCACAGAGCCTGTTTGCTCAAGTCATTAGGGTGGCCTTTGTTGTGTATGACTGTGTGAAACCACATACATCCTTGAGCTCATTCACCTTCCAAGTTTATACAGCTACCCAGGGGGACAGAGAAGGCAGGCGGGGCCCCTAGGATGCTGGGCAGGTAGGCAGGGAACAGGGTCCCCACCCAAGTCCCCTGCTGAGTTCACCCTGTGCATGCAGGGAGGTGGAGGTGGGGCTCCAGGGTCGGATTATATTAAAGTCTCTGCCTTTGTGCCCTGAAATCAGCAAGGCTGAATGGATTTTCTGCTTCTTTCTATTGGACACTCTCACCGTTGAATTATGTTCTGTTATCTTTCTGTATTTCTTCCACACAAAATCATTCTTCTATTTTTGCTTTTCCACCGTTTAAAAAGTTTAAAATGCCTTTCAGCCCGGCTCCTGGTCTCTTAATCTCCTCCTTTCTCTGCACCCGCCTTGTCTGCCCCTCCTCACTCGCCAACGTTTCTTCCTTCCTGGGCTAATAATTACTCCTCGCTCCTTCCCCATTCCATTTCTACCTCCCCTTTTGAGCATCCCCCCAAAAGCCTCTGTTGGGTTTTATCAGGACGGAGGAGCGTTCTTTTCTGAAGGTGTGCTGAATTGTCTGTCTTATTGTGCGTGGTTGAGGCCTGGTAATTTTCAATACAGCCCTCAATCCAAGTTCTGCACTGAAAATCACCAGGCTTCTCTGTGGAGGATGGGAGTCGAAACAGCCGCTGAGCTAGAAGGGGTGGCTGGCCCAGGCGCGCCAAGCAGGACCGGCCAGTGCTAAGTCAGCCGGAACCCAGACTGCCGGGCCATGAGGACAGATGACCCAGAACTTACAGCTCGGGGGTGTTTGGATCCCGGAGACTCTTTCAGCTGAAGCTTTGCTCTTTTTCCTTAAAATAACCTTCCTTTGACAAAGTTCACACGTTGCCTTGCACCAAACTCGAAAAAATGACGCATTTTTTCATCATCTTGTGAACTAAAAATAGGGGTCTGGGAACAAGTTCCTGCTTTGGGTGAAATGGTTGGATTTCTTTTCTAAGTATTTGGGGTGAAATTTTCTCATCCTGTGAGTTTTCCTTTAAAAACACAGTTGTTATTACGACAAATTTCAGGTCAGAATAATGAACCCTTTTTATGAGTTGATTCGAACCTTAGCATTTCTAAAATTCCTGAAAATCTCAATGTTAGCCAGAGTCTCATCAATTAGCCAGAATCTTCCTTGAATATTCAAAGAGATTATATGTTCATTATGATGTGCTCCTATTTAAAAAGAACCCTATTTTATCAAAGTATGAGAAAGATGTACTGTTAGGGTGGAGGAGGAGCAGAGATGGGGATCTGCTCCAGGAAAGCGGGAGTGGGGAGTGGTGCATGCGCTGTGTCAGAAGAGGTTGCAGGCCACAGCGAGGTCGAGGGGCCCCCTCAGGACACACCTGGGGACAGACAGGGCCCCACTCTCACTCTCAGAGCTGGCTGAAGACAGAGCTGACTGAACAAGGCCTCCTGCTGGGCCCGGGCCCCTGTGGCCCCACTGATGCTGAGGGACCTAAACCAGAGCTCTGGATTCTTCCATTGCCTCTCATCCATTTAAACGTCGGAGGCCTCTGTGGGACTTTGGGAATTCAGGGGAGTGGAGTATGCCCTTTCCCTTCCCTGTGTGGGAAGCAGGTGAGTTGAAGAATGGATGGAATCCTCTTCCCTTAAGAAGTATCCCCTTGCGAGTCACAGCAGGTGAGCAAGCTGAACAGAGCCACTTCTGGGTCCTGGTGATTCAGCTGGAATCTAAGCGATACTCAGCTGCTTCTGCTCCCTGATCCCGCCAGATCAGGGTCCGTGGGCCCTGCACCCCAGTGGTCAGTCATCAGCCTCACCCGGTACCTTTCCTGCTGCCACTCTGGGAACCCAGGAAGGAGTTTCCTCAGAAAGGAACGGTTTCTACTCAAGGAACGTGAAGAAATGGCGGCTCCTGGAAGCAGGAGATTCAGAGAGCGGGGACAGATCGTCATCTGCAGGGAACGGAAGCAATCATCCTCCGGTGGAGAGCGGTGGGGAGAGAGTGGGCGCTGAGCAACCAGGAGCTGGCTTTCCCAAGGTGCCACCACTGGATTAAGGACCTCAGATTGGAAAATAAAGCTGTCTGCGGATACGGGCTTTTTCATTTGGGGCTGCGTGAACCTCCTGAGCCTCCAGCTCTTCTAAGAGTGGAGCTGGGCCAGACGTTCTCGCCAAGGTTAAAGCGATTCTTTCACGGAGATAATCTAAATCTAGATCATATTGAATCTGTTTTCTCTCTGGCGCTGAAATATTTTCCACGGTGCTCACGTTGGAAATATGAATTACCCACACTCTTCTTTCAAGCCCTGTCCAATTAGAAGTAGATGAAAATCTCCTTGGTGCAAAATCCTTTAACACAGGCGGAGGGGAAGAAGGGAATATATATTTATAGAAAATCTGATAGAAAACACAAGCACGTAACCTCAGGGTGAGCCGGGTGAGATATTTACTCAAGACTTATATTTCTTTTAAAAACAATTACTTTTGATATGTATCTAAAGTACCTCATCTGTCATTTAGGATAAAGACAGATTAAGCTTTTACCGGGGAATGAATTAGAAACTCTAGCATTCTTGGCAGCTAAGTGAACGTATGCGCTTGCAGAGAACTAAAGAAAAATCCAGTGAAGGGGACCTACAAGGAACAGTAATGTTGTCTTTGAAATGGAAATATGCTAAGGGAGGCATGCTCGCTGGAGCTTAAAAGAAACATTAAAAGTGAGAGAGATTCCCTCCCTGGGAATGTGGGCTTGGGCTCTGACAAAGGACTGCCAAAGATCTGGAGGATCAGAGGTAGGTATTCAAAGAATGTGCCGCCATGTTAAACCAAAGGGAACAGGAACCCAGAGTGGGGGACTTCAGGTCGCACATCTCTGCCACCTCCTCCTGTCCCTGGACACTCTCCTATCTCTGAAATTTACTCTGGGCTTATTTTGTTGTTGTTGCTGTTTTTCGAAGTACTAAAATTCAACTTTTACTCCAGAATATCTTTTTTTTTTTTTTTTTCTCGTCAGAAGTAGCTGATGGCTTCTTAGAGTAGTCACATGAAAAGAGTAATTTGGAAACATTTAAGTAAAACAGGGTTCTTCAGTGTATTGGGTGATTCAGTCATAAGCAAGGCCTTCAGGGGCCCATCGTAACAAGAAAAGACAAAGATGAGTAGGTGTGGTGGGGGCGCTTCGTGCCACAGGTGCACCAGGTAAGGAGCCGCAGCCTAAATTCCTGTGGGATCCCAGGTTAGGGACTCGCCTGGAATCCTGAAACCCATTGCTGCAGGAGGGTTGGGAGCAACTGGAAGCGCTGGTACATGATCTTCAGGAACAAGAACTTTGTAGAAAGGCCAACCTGGGCCAAGTCCACCACTTACCTTCAGGCCCATGACTTGCCTGCCTGATCCTCAGCCTGCTCATTGGCAACACAGACGGGGAAGACACAGCCACCCCACAAGGTGGTTGAAGGGCTTAAACCCGGAAACACGGGTGGCTGGACTTATCGTCAGGTGCGAGAAGCTAAGAGCCATGGGCATGTTCCTGGGGGTGTCGGCATTGCTGCTCCCTTGGAGTAAGGTGCCCACATGGGTCTTTAGGGTCCCAGCAGGAGGGAGTCAAAGTTAAGGGAAGGATGAGTAGCTGGCCACAAATTCAGCCCTCCCACCTGTGGCACAGAGAGGAGAACAGGGGCTGTGGCTGGGGACACAGCATGGGTGAGGGTAGAGCTTCCCTGGATTCAAGCCGCGAGGCTGTTCCTGAGCCTTGTTAAGCAGGCCTGGTCTGGAGTCCAGCAGTTTGACGGATGTACGGTGCAGGTCTTGCAGTCTCTGAGGGGGAGAGCCGGGAGCTTTCCCGTCTGGACCCATCACAGAAGGTTCTGAAGTGAGGGCCACTGTGGAAGTGCAGAGAGGCTGGGCAGCAACCAGACTGGCTTCCGGCGGGGGTGCTTCCTCTGAATTTCCACGTTCTTCTCAAGGCATCCACTGGATCTTATTTTTCCCCTAGGAAAATTTAGCCTCCTGTACATCAACAATTTAGCCTCCTGTACATCGGGTCTCCTCACCATCCTTCTCTCTTGTGACACACAGATGTGGGAGGAGGCCATCGCCTTGGGCAAGGAACTCGCGGAGCAGTATGAGAACGAAATGTTTGATTATGAGCAGCTCAGTGAATTGCTGGTAGGTCTTCCTCGTTTTTGCTTAAACGACAAGAGGCAGGTCAAGCCTGCTCTCCTGGAATCTCCTTTTGTACTTTCTCCTTGGGATTCGCCCCAGGCATCCCCCAGCCTTGGCCTGGTTCTTGGTGCCATCCAGCAAGATGGCCTTGCTAATCTGCTGTTTGCTCCTGGCCCTGGCCAGCCCTTGTTACCAGACTGGGGCTCCTGTGAGTGGACTTTACGTAGACACCAGCGGACCCCCTGTGTACATGATCTGGGGAGTGCAGGAGTCTCCAGGAGCTTCTTGGATTCTAAAAACCAACACCTTCCACAAGAGGAGAGTGGACAGATGGAAGCTCTGGAAGTTTCTAAGTCCAGCCTTCTCAGCTAACCAGTCTTGTATTCAAGAGATCACAATGATGAGGTGGCAATATTTATCATTAACTTAGAGCAAAGTAATTCTACCCTTTTTGATTCTTCTTTAATGTACCTCAGTACCTGGTCCATACCATTCATCCACCAAGGGCCACCATGTAATCAGAGTGAAACAGACTGTCTCGGGGTTACCTCTTGTGGTTATTGAGAAGCCCCATGAATTATGACTGGTTGCTGAATTTGGCTTGTTTATTCAGGATCCCTTGCTGATTGATGGGGGATAAGTGAAAAAGAATGTCAAAACCATCAGTGAGATTAGACCCAGGTGCAGGCCTCCGGGCCTCCCGCCCTGCAGGAGCTGCCAAAGCTTAGAGAGCTCACAGGAGGAGCCCAGGGGAATGATGCTTAAGCCTGAACTGCACTTTCTCTTCCTTACAGAAAAAGCAGGCTCAGTTTTATGAAAACATCGTCAAAGTGATCAGACCCAAGCCCGACTATTTCGCTGTTGGCTACTATGGACAAGGGTTCCCCACCTTCCTTCGGGTAAGTTCTGTTCTACTCAGTCTGAGCTGGGATTGCAGCTGCCTGGGCAGCAATCCCTTTTCCCAAGGTGTTTTGCAAGGTGTTTTGCCCAACTCTGAACTGGAGGAGCTGAGAATATATTTTTTGATTGCGTGGGTGTAACCCTTTGGTTCGATTTTTCCTGAAAAGAACTCTCTTTCCAAGATTTATGTGTATTTTTAATGGTGCTAAAATATGCATAACATGAAATTTACCATTTGAATCACTTTGGGTTGTATAGTTCAGTGGCATATGCACCGCCATCACCCTGTCGATCCACCCCCAGAACTTTTCATCTTGCAAAGCTAGGACTCGGTCCCCTAGCTCTCCACGCCCCCTCCAGCCTTCGGCAGCCACCCTTCTGCCTTCCATGCCCGTGGGTCTGACTGCTCTAGGTGCCTCATGTGAGTGGGCTCAGGCAGTACTGTCTCTCTTGTGTCTGGCTTCTTTCATTCAGCATGGAGTCCTCAAGGCCCACCCATGTTGTAGCAGGAGTCAGAACTTCATTCATTTTTTCAGGCTGAAAAATATTTTGTGGTGTCAATAGACCATATTCTTTTTATCTATTTATCTCTTGATGGATGTTTGGGTTGCTTCCACCCTTTGGCTACTGTGAATAATGCTGCTGCAATGTGTATTTGTAACTACATATAAACATTGGAGATGGATCCCCAGGGCCACCACGCTAGGAACCACTGCATCCCGGAGGCCGGTGGGTGCTGTTGGAATGTGATCAGAGTGGTAACCACCATCACCCGCCAGACTCCATTCCCCGATATTCACAGGAGGCTGGAGGAGACGTGTGTGAAGAAAGGCCACCTGACCAACTAGTAAAGTGGTTTCAAGTTTCTCAAAAGCACATTCTTGGATGCCACTGACCTGAGGGTCGTGATTTCTTGCCCTGTCTTGTGGCATGTTTTATGACACGTGGTTTTTCCTCACCCCAGGCAGCCCCGTGTGGTTTAGGGCTACAGAATTTCCATGCCAGGAGCATGGCTGTGGTATGGGGGGTGGGGGGCGGTGAGGCCGGCAAGGAGATCCTCCTGGTCCCAGAGCTGTGCTTCCCGGCCTACGTTTGCTGATTGCATAGGGCTCCCTGTGAGATGAGGCACCCCTTCACCTACCCCCACAAGGTGCCAATGATCCCCCTACCGAGGACATGCCACTCTTTGTGGGAATGGCCCACACCGTTCTGGTCTGTTCCAGAAGGTGAGGTTGGGTGACCCCTCACTCAGTGACCCCCTAGTGACTGAGGCACCTGACTGTGAGCTCGCTGCTTCCAGCCCCTCCCGCTGCCTTCACTGTGCAGTGAAGACAGTGGTGGATCAGAAAGGCAGGCTGGAGAGAAGGTCTTCCTGCCCAGAGAGAGCAAAGGGTGTTCAGTGACGGCCTCCAAAACAGACTGAAGGGAGGCCTGAGGTGGCAGGCGACGCACTTCAAGTTGCGAAGGGCACTCATCAGTGCTTGTGTCTGCACGTGTGCCCTGGGGGGTCTGCTGAGAGCTCACCCTGCATGTGCAGTCCCTGCTGTGCTGGGGGACAGAGGGGCCGTGGGCCCTGGGCACACTGGGCTGCCTGAGTGTGGCAGCTGCTAGCTGGACTTGCAAGGCATGATGACGACATTGAGCAAGGCAGCAGCCTGCCTCGAGTCTGCCAGTGGAAAGCCTGGGACTCACGTGGCCATAGAGCCAATGGCCACAAGTTGTGCTGGGAGCTCCAGCCACTGCGGGCTGCAGGGACGGTCCTGGGTCACTTGCACTATCCGAGGACAAAATGCAAAGTATGAATAAAGATTTTAATGGTCTTGATTAATATTGAACTGACTTTCCCGGCACACCTGAATAATTTTGTGGGGCTGTGGCAATATATTTATTACGCTTCACAGATCACCTGGCAGGGGTCAGTCGGACAATGACATTAGCAGTGACCACAAAGCAGGCGGAAGACGTGGTGGCCAGGCTGCTGGCAGAGGAGCCTCTGAGGAACTCGCTTTCCCCTGGCTCCGCCGTCCCCCCCGAATCAATCTGGGTTTTGCATGCATATTAATATTTATACTCCTCACAAGGAATAAATATCTTTGCCCGTGTGTACATTTTCCCCTTGTTTTCTTGTTCGAAGGGACTACCTCAGCGTGCAAAGTAATTGACATTTCTGGAAAAGGGTATTAGTGTTTTCTTCTATAACTCACTAGTGTTTTTATATTAAAGCCTTTATATACATTTTTATTATTGTGCTTTTTTCTAATATAAAACATAATGAATGCATGCTAGTTTCATAGTAGCCTGTTATATATTAAATCTCACTGAATTTCTGGAGTGTTTGGCTTTATATCGCCTCCTAAGGTACCCATGTGGGTATTTATATTTCTAATTAAGACTACACATTACTTTGGTTTCTGCTTGGCATTAGTTTTCATAGAAATAAAACATTTTTCTTCCCTAATGGTGCTTTTTAGACATACCTAAGCATAAAGTGGAAAAATCATTCAATTCTTAAACCGTTTCTTCCTCGCTAATTCTTAAAAACTCAGAAGACACTGCTCCTAGAGAAGAGGGTTGTCTTAGTCTGCTCAGGTTCAAGTAACAAAATACCTTCAACTGGGTCATAGATAAACAGCAGAAGTTCGTTTTTTGACTGTTCGGAGGCCGAAAAGCCAGAGCAAGATGCAGCAGACGTGACATCCGTGGGGGTCTGCTCCCCTCAAGGCAGGGGGACGACAGCTCTCTGGAGCCCCTGGTGACCTGATGGCCTCCCAAGTGTCCCACGTTTAACACTGTCGCCTGGTTGATTAGGAGGGACACAAACTTGCAGACAGTAGCAGGGATAAGCTAATCGAATGTTCTAAGATTTCTCTCTATCTCTGAAAACCCATTAATTAGACAGATTTTAATTTGATTAGGCTGAGTCTCTGAGAGATAAATGTAAAAATATGCAGCAAAATGCTGTTCCCGGCTACCTCTGGCTGCCTCGCTCTCTCTCTCTGGCGTCTGTCCAGGGATTGCCAAGATATGACAGGGCTGTGCCTGACTCATGACCAGCCAGTCCTGAGTCTTCCCAACATCTCCTGATGGAAGGGACACAGGTCCAGGGCAGCCAAGACCCACCCATGGGCTCCTACCCATGGTCTCTCCCTGCCACAGTTTCCAATTAGGTGAAGACGGCCCTGGGCAGGGGAGCCTTGACCTGTCTGTGACTCATTGTCATGCAGAACCCACTCGGGGATCTGAGAAAGGATGGAGAAGAACCTGCCTTGCAGATGTATTTACAGTCACTGTCCCACTCATCTGGAGATGGCCTCCACAAGAGCCTTGTGTAAGGAGGGGGCTTACTTTCATCTCTCCACCAAGGTCCCTTGACTTGGCCCTGACGGACTCTCCAGCTTAGGGAGCATCATCTGAGATGGATAAAACCCAACCCCTAGAAGAAGAGCCCTCACCCCAAGTCACCATTTACTTTCCATTCCTTGATGAATGGGGGTCCGCACGGCAACTCTGATTGCAGTAAGGACAGACCTGCCATCCACCTCTCTCCAGCCTCTCACCACCAGGAGCCTGAGAGCCCAGCATCTGGGTCTGGATCCATTTCCCTTGGTTTCTGCTCTTCTGTTGCTGTCTCCCAGGAATCAGCTGAGGATGGCCATGCTCAGGCCCTGAGGTCCCACCTTTGTCCCAGGCCATCTTAAATTCCTTCAGAAGGACAAAAAGCACTGAAGTAGAGCTGTGGGGGAGAGACACCTGCTCTCTGGTCCCCACCTCAGTTTCTCATGTGGGCTGTCCGGCTGGGTCTGGGAACCTGAGGGTACAAGAGCTGACCAACAAGAGGGAAGCATCAGAGTTCATTATTTTTGCATGTATTTGGGGATCTTCACAAGAGAGTGAAGTCCAAGGCAATGGCTAAAGCAGGATGTTTTAATACTTTCTAGACAAAGAACAGTAAATCCCTAACAGAATGACAGGACAGATGTATCTGGACTCCGGTAGTAAATTCTAGGGCTATCACTATGGGGGCGGAAGATCAGGATGACTTTAGAATATGTTGTTCAGGTTCTCTGCTGGCCCAGTTACCAGGGATTAGGGCTATTTTCCATCCTTGGTATACCAAGGACCTTCCTCCCAGAAGGATCCGTAGGGTAGGGCTTGCTGCACGGAGGAAAACAGGCCACATCCTTTCTGAAGTTACTGTTCCCCAGTAATTCCAGTTTGAAACAGTCATTACACCCCTTGGGCACATTTTGCGATGGCCAATCCTTCACCCTTTCAGGGCCTACCCAGGAAGGAGTGCAGATGTCATTCTCTGCCTGCCCTGCCAGTTTCCGCCTTTTCTCACCAGGCCTGGGGCTCCCATTGCTCCCCTGGTTTTGCATAGCTTTTAAATTGGTTGCCACTGCTGAGACTGACATATCTCAAGATGTGGGTAACCTGCTGCTGCCTAGGCAGTGTAACTCAGGAGGCTTTGGTCCTGTGTCCTCCATGGGGAAGAGCCACACGATCTCGTCCTGTTCTCACACGCAGTCGCATTTTTAAAAAACTTCCCCGCATACCTTGAAGACTGGCGCTTTGGCTTGTGAGCGTTTCTGGCCTCCCCTGTGGTGTTATGCAGTGAACGTCTTTGTTTCCAGGGAAAAGTTTTCATTTACCGGGGGAAAGAGTATGAACGCAGAGAAGACTTTGAAGCCCGACTACTAACTCAGTTTCCAAACGCAGAGAAAATGAAGACCACATCTCCACCAGGCGACGACATCAAAAACTCGGCTGGCCAGTGTATCCTTTAAGACCCCCTGCTGACTCCGCTAGCAAGGGATGCCCGGGCGGTTGCAGGGCTGGGTGGCTCGGGCTTCTCTCCAGGCCGACATCCCTGCTGCCTGTTGATCCTTAACCCCCTTCCCCTCAGACATCCAGTGCTTCACGGTGAAGCCGAAACTCGATCTGCCCCCTAAGTTCCACCGCCCGGTGTCCGAGCAGATTGTAAGGTAATTTTGCTCATAGGATGGGAGATGGGAGTGGCTGTGGGGCCCTCCGGCTGGTGACTCTGCCTTTTGAAGGGTGGATTTCAGCCAGCCTTGAGCACTCCCAGGTTCTCTCTGCCCTCTTCCAATTGCACGGGATGCTCCTGATTCCCAGCTTCCACCCAGGGTGGGGAGGAGTGGCCCCAGCCTGAAGGGTACCATGCTGATTCCCCTCCCAAGGTTGGGGACAAGGAAAACTCTGAGGAGGGAGGCGGCCTCTGGTCACTTGAGACCCATGAGGTGGGAGACTTCCCTGTGGAGCACTTCAGCTGTGCCCAAGCCCAGTCCCACACCCAATCTGAGCAGAAATACGAGGCTGTGGCAAGAAAGAGACTCGAACATTTGCTCCTGATTAAGCTCAAGATAAAAACCCTCCACCCATGAACCAGCATGGTGAGTGGTTTTTAGACCTCACTGTCCGAATTTGCGTGGGATGGTGCCTGGCAGTTTGCGTCGCCCCTGACGTAGCGGTGGTGCAGGAACATCTGCTTTTGCAGATGGCTCTTTGATGGGAAGATCCTCATTCCGGTGAAAACATTAGCCTCCTGGATGGCCCGAGGGCCCTCAGGATCTGCTTGTCTGGCATCCTCAAGTTCGGTGGTTTCTCCGAGCTTTCCTCATTTCTTTGACCTTTCGTCAGCAGTAATGGATGTAGACCCAGACTCCGTGTGTTTGCAAGAGATTGTTTTCACAAGGCATGCATTTTAAGGTTTGCAATGTCTTTTCTCAGGGAGGGCCTTTAAGTAAACATGAAACTGTAGAGTCTCTCAGTTCCTTTAGACGTATTTCCGTGTAGGGGGAGAAAGAAGTCCCCCCGCCCTGCCTGGCCTAGGCAAAGCCCACCCCTTGCCCACAGGAGGAAGGCAGGCACATACATTCCACGGGTGCCACTCTTTCAGATCTGCATTCTATAGATCTGAAACTAAATTATGGAGCATCTTTCTAAAAATAATGAATGCATCCATTTTTAACTGTTTTAGAAAGTAATTAATTATTAAGTTATCAAATAACTTAATTGCTAAATTATTGAAGCAAATGATGAAACGATTTCTTAAATAATGAACACATACGTTGAAGGCACAGCCCGGCCCCTCTGCTTCCCTTCCCTTTTCCCCACTTTACCTCTCACTCTGACCCAGTATCCCTTCTCCCTGAGGGTTGGCATGGACCCAGAGGTGCTAAAACCTCAAGTTCATTTTGCACCTGCCAGGGTTTACCTTCAGAGGCTGCTGGGCGAAGAGGCAGCAGGTCAAGGCGGCAGCCGCTTCCCGGGATATAGCTAAGGCCAGATCCTGCATCTAAAGTGAACGGGCTGTTTAAGGTTAATGTCTGAAGACATTTCTGTCTCTGCAGCTTTTACAGGGCAAACGAGGTCCAGAGATTCGAATATTCCAGGCCGATCCGGAAAGGAGAGAAAAACCCAGATAATGAATTTGCGGTAAAACAACACCACTGATTCTACCAACAACAGGAGTGCCCCGGAAGAGTGTGGCCTTGGGGCTGCCACGCCTCTGGGCAAAATGTGTGGGAATCCTATCCCCTCTCCCCTCCAAATGTAGCAAAGCCATCAACATTTCACACACAGATCTTGAGGTTTCGGTGTATAGTAAGGTGCCTAACATGGGAAGGTGCGGGGCTTCCCTTGAGCCCAGCCCCTGTGCTGGAGCAGGTGCTGTATCTCTAGCTACAGTTGGGTGTGAGATGCCCAGTGCTGACAGGACCTCCTGCAGGTGACGTGGGGGTCAGCAGATGGGCTGAGTGTAGATGCAGATGCTGGCACACCATGCAGTGTCCAGCCTGAACTTCACTATATCTCAGCAGCTGCAGAAGGATTTCTGCCTGGATGCTGCTGACACCAGGGGCCAGGTGATTCTCCGTGGTGGAGGCTGTCCTATGCATCGCAGACTGTTTAGCAGAATCCCTGACCCCTGCGCACCAGATGCCAGTATCACTTCCCCAGTTGTGACAACCAATCCAAAAGTTGTTCCAGACATCACCAAATATTTGTCCCTTTTTGGAAACCATAGCATTGAAGTCATGGAAATATTAACACACATCCTTATTACAGCCTTTTAGAAATTATAGGTACAAACTGATTTAATGAATTTCATTTTAAAAAAGCACCAGACAAGCCAGAATTTTCTTAAATGATAACATTTCTCCCTTGTTCATGGAAAACCTCCAGAGACCCATGTACAGGCCCCTATGGCATGAGGCTGCAGCCCTGGGGATTCTGGGAGCACCCGCACTGCAGGAGATGGCGCTGCTCTAGTCTGCAGTCTGGTGGCCCCTGATGAGGGGTCAAAGGTACCTCAGTGCCTGCTCATGGCCCAGAGCAAAGCTCGGAGCTCTTTGTCAGGGCTGCCTTGGGACCTCCATTCTGTCTCCCTGCAAATCTTCCGGTTTCTTTCAATCATGTGATCCTCAAAAACATCTGAGTCTCCTCTGTCAACTCCTGGGAGCTCCCTGGGGGAGCCCCTCCAGCTAGGAGGCCAACCCCTTGTGTGTCAATAGGAGCTTGGAGTGTGTGAATCCAAGACCTACAGTTTTAACACACTGGTGTCTAAAGACCAAGGCTCTTTCTCTTGCGTGAACGTCCTTGGTGACTGGTCGCTGCTGTATTTCTGTAACAATGGGGGCCCAACCTTGGTATATCCAACCCAGACACCCATCTAAGGGGGCAGCTTTCTGAGCAGTCGGCCTCCAGCCATCCTGCCACTGTGTATGTTGTGTCTGGGTCGCGGGTTTGTTGGCTTTTCCTCGATCCGCTCCTCTCCCATCTGGAAGTGCATATATTCTTACACCGTAAAGAAATAGACACAAGGAGTCCAGCAAATTGCCAAAATGCCAGCAACAGGGGAGCAGAGCTAGGAATAACCCAGGCTCCCGATGTCTTGAGCTATGCCAAGCCTCATAGGCTGGGCCTCTCCTGGATGGCCCTGAAAACCAACATGACCCCATTATGTCCTCACGCTTGCATGCAGCCAGGAGCCCAGGGTCTAGTCCTCCATGGACTGGTCAAAACCTCAGGCTACCAGATAAGCACAGGGTATTCACAGCCCAGGTAAATGGGGCTTTGCTGTTTCATGGGGAGTTTGGCTTCTCAGGCCCCAGGGGCAGAGGCTGTGGAAGCCCAGCCAAGAGCAGGGCAAGGAGGCTCAGCGCCTTCAAACCTTGCAAGGGCTGAAGCTCCTGCCAGCAAGGGCCAGTGGAGGAGGAGACCCAGATGGCCACCCCTCCCAGGAGTGGAACCACGGAGAAGGTGCTGGAGGTGTGGTCTAAACAGGTTCTGAAAGAGCAAGTGCTACCCTTCAAAGGCCAGTGCCTGAGAGGGTGACCACAGGGGGCCTGGCCTGTGTCCCTGAGGTCCCAACTGGGCCCTTGCTTTCCTTCTCCAGGAATCTCAGAGGTTTCCAAGATCCAGACAGCTTTCAGGAATTGTTGACATCCCATGATCCCATCTACATAAATCTAGACCCTATTGGTAGGGCTGGGAATCTAACTCTGCGATAGAGCACATGCTTAGCATGCACAAGGCCTCTGGTTCCATTCTCAGCACACACACAAAAAAAAAGACAGGTCTCGATTGCTACTGGCAGAAGACTTGGTGCTCAGGATTCTGCCTTACAGGCTGGAATGGCAGAGGAGGTCGCAAGCCAGGCAGGCTTGAGCAGGCAGAGGCCAGGGTTGCAGTTTGCCCTGAGTTGTGGCTCTGCAACCTGAAGGCAGTGTAGAATGATGCTTGACACCTTTTTCTGCAGTATGCAATGTCTACTTTACAAAGAGTACATTTCATAAAATGGCGTTTTTATTTAAAATGTATGTACACATTTTAAAAATGCAGAGAGTGGAAAGTCTTGAGTAATACACCAGAATGTTCAGGTTGTCATCTCTGCATGGTGAGTAACTTTCTCCCTTCCATTTTCATATTTTCACAAAAATGTTCTAAAATACTAATTTTATTAGGATGTGAGAGGTCAGTTTTGATAAACCCAGCCTTCCTGAATGCATTAGCACCTTTGAATTTGTTTTGAACTCAAAGTACAGCTAATATGAAACTCATTTGGCACCATCCCAAATCTATATAAGAGGCCCCACCAGTCTGAACTATTTACACCTCCCCGTCTCCTACATCCTCTTTGCCAGATACCAGGGAGGTGGGCCCTCATGGCTAGGAAACAGGATGCTTGGGTAGGTGCTGTGTGGCTGTTAAGCAGAGCGTGGCTTATGAGGTGGCACTGCAACACACACCTGCCCTGCCCCGCACATAGGCAGAAGCTGCTGCTCAGGAAACCTCTGCCCAGGGGTCCTGTGAATCCCCATGGGGGCAGAGCCAGCCCCCGCTGATGGCCTCCTAACACAGGTTTTGTGTTCCTGTTGCAGAATATGTGGATCGAGAGGACCATATACACCACAGCCTATAAATTGCCTGGCATTTTAAGGTGGTTTGAAGTCAAATCTGTTTTCATGGTAAGAACGAACCCTGGAAGCCATCATCCCCTTCCCTTCCCAGCTAGGGTCGGATACACCCTCCTGGCAGGCTGCCCACGGCAGACCCCGCAATGCAGGTGGCCCCGCTGCACGTTCCTCGGCGCGCCCATGTCACCTCGCCCCATCCCACCCCCAGTATCTTAGTGGAAGAGCTGTGGAAACACAACCGAGAACTGGCTTTCTTTGTAAGAAAACCGGACCAAGATCTCATTTCTCCTCTCAGTATTTAATTTCAATCATAGCTGGGCTGTTTTGACAGTTCTTTCCCTTCCCTAAATGAAAAGTTTAAAACAAGTTCCAATTTACATAAACTTTTTACAAAATCTTTCTTCTTGATGGTTTTATTGCCATTTACATGACAAACAACTGAATTAATAGCACTCGCTCATTTCAAGTAAAAATAGCCTGAGAATAGACCCGGCCCCTACAGTTTTTAAAGGAAGGATGGTTCCCGTCTCGTTAACTAAACTCTGCATGGCTTTGGGACAGCTTCATTTACATGAAACTCACATTTATGGTGAGCTATGGGACAGCCTCATTTACATGAAGCAGCAGATCTATTAACTGCATGGAAATGTCAGGGCTGTGGCCATGCCAGTTTAAAAGTGCCGGTTGAGAAATGTTTTTGTTCCTGTGTCTTCATGGGGCAGGATCCCAGCCCTGGGGTAGCACTTGCCACCAGTTTGCAGTGAGTCCCCTGAAGCACCTGGTGGTTGGCTCTAGGACGAGGCTGCAACCTTCTGTCCAGCCTGTGTCCACCATTCCCCTTTGGCCTGGCTGGCTGGAGCTCCAGGTCCTTCCATGAGCATTTGCCTGCTCTGACAGACCTCTTGCCCTGACCCAGGAGACTGCCAGGATGCAGCCCCGGCTTCCTGCTGGGCCCCCGAGACTCTCTGCCTACCCTCTTGGGAGATACTGACCCTTTCTGCTCTGGGACCTCCCATTCTATTCTCCAGACCTCTCAGATAGATGGAGGGCTGTGCCGAGTGGGGTCAGGGGGCAAAACTACAGCCCCTTCATGGGGTGTGTGGAGGTGGTAACGTCCCCATGGGACAGAGGAGCAGGCACTAATCCTCTTGGGAGCCTCTGCCCGTGAGATCGTGGAGCCTGACCTTTTGTGAGGACACAGCTCCTCGGTCTGTGCTGGCCATTTTTAACAGATTGAAAGGGCTGGAAGCCAAATAATCCCAGAGTGGTGGGACTGGAACCCCGCTGCAGACCCCTTCCCCTGCCATGCCTCCGGGAACAGACCCTGTCCTCACAGGGGCAGCCACTAGCTGTTTGACGAAGACGGGAAACGTTCTTTCTTGCAGTAAATGGGTTCAGTGACTGGGGATGAGCAGCCAGTTAAAGGGCATCCTGCCCCAGAAGTCATGTTCCTAGGACGGGACATTCCACTGTCTGACACGGGTGAGGACGGCTTTCCTGGGAGTGCATGTGATGAGGGCCACCCTCAGTAGTGTGCACATGGTCGACCACAGGTCCCTGTATCGGGTCACAGATGAGCACGTCGACCAGGCGCTGGCCTCTGTGGACCACTTCCTCTGCAGCCGCTGGATTGTCGTGCTAGAGTCTGGCGATCCCCACTTGTCCGTTCTCTGCCCTCTCTGCTCCCCCTTCCCCAGCCACCTCTCCCCACCCAAAAGGCGTTCCCGAGGCTGCAGCAAGAATGCTGGAGGCTCTGCTTAGCCATTTGCTGGGGACACCCCAGTCCCTGGACATGGCTGAGGCCCATCACACCTCCTTTGGGAGGATCACAGGGACCGAGGCCATCTGGACGTGGGTCCCATGGCCCAGCCTCAGTGGGAGAGCACAAAGCCTGGTAGTTGGTGTGGGCTGCATACCATGCTGCTCTTAGGGCACCTTCGGGTTCCGCCAGACAGGGCTCCTGAGAAGGACAGAGGCGGAAGAGAGGGAAGCAAGCCCAGGAGGAGCTTGTCCCCTGCCTCCTGCGCGCACGGCTCCACTGCAGGCATGACCTTCCAGATGAGACGGCGAGCGCTCATCTTCCACATGGGGGTGTGTGGAGGCTCCTCCTTTGCCTTCCCAAACCAAAGGGGCCAGCAGGTTTCTAGAAGGGCAACTCTAGAACAAGCAGAGAGCTAGGACACGTTCAAGGTCTCCTTTGGGGTAGTGTTGAGGCACTGCTCAGAGCTGAGTGTTTTCCCCGGATGACCACACGTGACCACAGCCGGGCGGGCAGCCTTGCTTTCTTTCTTTGGAATTTCCACATGAGAGTTCCATAACAGTGATGATAGAATCCCCAGCTGCTCCTGCCTCGGCCACAAGCAACCGCACGTCCAGCCATCTCTTGTGAGATGGTGTAGGGGAGAGGAGGTAGCCTGCCCCACCAGGACACCATGCTCCTCTGGTGAGGCCCAGGCAGCGGATGTGGCCATGCCATGGTACCATCTTCTCTTCCTTGCAGATGGAGATCAGCCCACTGGAGAATGCCATTGAGACCATGCAGCTGACGAACGACAAGATCAGCAGCATGGTGCAGCAGCACCTGGACGACCCCAGCCTGCCCGTCAACCCCCTGTCTATGCTCCTGAATGGCATCGTGGACCCTGCTGTCATGGGGGGCTTCACCAATTACGAGAAGGCATGTGGCATGCCCGGGGTCACTAGGACAGGCTGAGCCTTCCAGACTCAAAGCCTGAAGACTACCTGGCCTCACTGAGCTCCCTCAGCAGTAATGGTGCCGTGGCCAGGCGCAGAGGCCGCCCCTGCAGGGGCTAGAATGTGTACCGTCTGACCCTTCCTCCAAAAAGCTTGTTGACCTCTGATCTAGACCAGGAAAAACAGACAGTGCACTGCCAGAGAGCAGGAAAAGGTGGCCCTCCCCTAATGCTCTGTATCCCTCAGGTTGTGTCCAGCCTGGGGCAGGTGCAGGGTGGGGACACGGGTGCAGCTGGCTGGGTGGTGTTCAATCTCCCCCAACTTGGCCAGGTGACTAGATCAGCTGTGGCCTTGCTGGACTCTCAGCATTGGGGCCTCGCTGTGAATGGCCCACGGGCCATTTATTGTCTCACCTTAACATTTTGCCTTGGGACTGGGGAAGGTGTGACAGAAGGTCTGGAGTGAGCTGGGGAGAGCAGAGTCGAGGATCTGTTGTGGCCTGGTGTGAGGTAGAGGTGCACACTTCCGTGTTGGAGGAGAGGTGCACTGAGGGCTGTCTGTCTCCACAGGCCTTCTTCACAGATCGCTACCTGCAGGAGCACCCCGAGTCCCTGGCTCAGATCGAGAAGCTCAAGGACCTGATTGCCTGGCAGGTAGAGTCTGCAGTGGTGGCCTGGCCTGCCTGGGCGGACGGGGGAACAGGTCTAGACTCAGGTCTCCTGGGCCCCTTGCACACTGCCTGCCAGCATGGAGGACTTTCGACTGAGGTCAGGTGCCCCTGGGTAAGCCACCTGGGCTGCCATGATGGGCCCAACCCCGGGCTACACTCATCAACTTGAACAGCCAGAAAATTCTCTTGCAAATGAACAAGGTCTCTTCCTCCCCCTGCTGAGTTATTTCAGCTGCTAGAAAAATCTCTCTCTGACATCAGCCGGGACTTAGAGGCACGAAGCCCTTTGCCACAGCCTGTCCCAGGAAAGCCTCTGCAGTCTTGGGAGCTGTAGCGGAAGCTGCCGCGCTCTCCGCTCCAAGGCAGGCTCTGGGCTGCGGGTGTCCTCAGTTTGGTTTTCCCAGGGGAGATTCTGCGTGGTATTTTGTTTCTGCTCATGCTCCTGAGGCCACCAAGCCCTTTTGGGAGGGCCATTGTCTTGAGGGTGGGTAACCTAACCCAGAGGGTGCTTCGTGTTCAGTTCCCATGTGCCTGTGTGTCTCAGACCCTCCTGGCTCCGTGGCCCGGGGACATCCAGAGTGCTTCTCGGGGAGCTCCACCTCTGCTTGCCCTGTCCCTTGGGTTGCCCACTCATCATGTGGGAGGCGAGGAGGAGGCTGTCCCCATCGTCACCAGATCAGAACCCCATGTGCTGGGCTGAGGAAATGGAGGGGGCCTGCCCCTCTTGGGCGGGGCGTCGTTCAGGCCACGTGGCTACCCTGGCGGTCCTGGGCTCCCTGCTGGGGCCTGAAGATCTGTGCGGTTGACTGGGCAGGGCTGTTCCTCTGAGGAGACAGCTCTTGGGCATTCTCACCCTGACTGTCCCAGCAAGTCTCCTCTTCCTGGCTCTCTGACACCAGCACATTGGCCAGGGAGACGCGTGGGGTGGTGAGGCTGAGCGGTTTCAGCCGACTTAGAGGTCCGCCTAACTTGCATTCAAATGTATAGGCTGGACTTGTTGTTATAATTCTGATCATTTATATTTATATATGCACACCATATGTGTATTTATAAAGCATATAATCTGTGATAAATACCACAAAATTCAATATCTTAGCCATTTTTAAACGTACAGTTCAGTGCTGTTCAGTACCTTCACAACAATGTGAAGGTACTTAGCAGCACTGAATTGTATGTTTTTCATCTTGCAAAACTGAAACTCTGTCCCCATCAAACAACCCCCCCCCTCCCCTCCCCCAGCCCTGGGTGCTCCTCATTCTGTTTCCTGCCTCCATGGGATTTGACAACTTTGGGAACTTCTCCTGAGTATACTCCTTCAGCACCTGCCTCTTCATCTGGTTTGGCTCACTGGGCAGGATGGCTTCAAAGTCCATCCATGCTGTGGCGTGTGTCAGGATTTTCTTCTTTTGAGGGCTGAGCAATATTCCGTTACATGGAAAGACCAGGATTTGTTTACCCATCATCTGTTGATAAACCTTTGGGTTATTTCTGCCTGTGGCTAGTGTAACTCACACTGCTGTGAATATGAGTGCACAGATACCTGTGCCGGTCCCTGCTTTCAATGCTTTGTGGCATCTACAAAAAACAAGAATTCATGGATCATATAAAATTCTGTTTAATTTTTTTGTGTCATTGCCAGATTTCCTTCAGGAAATGATTTCCTTCATTTTACATTCCCACCAGCTATGATGCATGGTCCTCATTTCTCCAAATCTTCACCAAGATTTGTTAATTTGTTTTCTTTTTTCTATAATAGCCATTTTTATGGGTGTTCAGCTACACACACAGGATTATATTCAAAAGGAAATACTTAGACTCTGTCATAAATCTGTATGTGCCTTAAATCCGCTTGCCTGGGAAGTATTTTGTGGTCAGATCCCTCTGAGGTGACAGGAAGAGGAAGGGGCACTGGTGGCCAACGCTGGTTTCTTTGCAGGAAATGCAAGCCTTCTGTGAGCAGTCTCCGTTACTAAAACGTGGGACTTAAAATTTCAAATGATTCCATTTTAGATGCCATAGAAACTAAAGGGTACAAAATTCAAAACTCCTCTTAATGCTATAACACAAAAACTAGTTTGGTCTGCAAAAGTTCTATTGATTTTTTTCCCCCCGTAAGCTTTTACAGCAAATTGGATTTTAAGAGTTTCAAGTCCTACAGAGGAAAATAATTTGTTCCCCAGAGAGCAACCTTATGTCAGCCCTCTGTCATCACCCCTAATAACTATATTAAAGGGTGAATTCTAAAGCAGCTCACAGGAAAGTTGAAAGAATTCATTTTCTGGCAACTTCATTAAATCAAAGAGTAAAGAAAAATACATATGCAAAACATTACCTGTGATTTTGCTCTCATTTGCAAATGTTTTGAAAAGGCATATCTTAATATCAGTAATTGAGTCATGTGTTCATTAAAAATAAGAACTTTGGGGTTATCAGGATCTTTGTTCTCTTTTTGTTTGTTAGTGCATTCGGTTTGGGTTTTTCCTGAAGCTCTGACAGGTGGAGCAGGGCTGTCCTCCTGGGAGCCCTGGGACTCATTTGCCCAGTTTCCATTGCTGATGTACAAGCTCATCTCCAAGGCCCACAGGGAAGCCTGGCCAGTCGGCCTCAGGGGCTCCTGCTGACTGTCTCTAAAGCAGAGGACGGTGCTGGCTGCTCCTTGCCACACAAGAGGCAGGGCTACCTGCAGTCTCTTCCAGGTTTGCAGCAGACACCCAGTCCTGAGCCACTTCTTCAAAGGCATAGCTCTGTATTCCCATGAACACACCTGTCATTGCTCAGTGTCCAGAGATGAATCTGGACACTCTTATGTGAAACTGCTATATGTGAACATATTGCTCCTTTGAAATGTACGGAAGAAGAGAGACCAAACTCCCTCATCATCCCCAGGCCCCGTGCTCCTGGAGCACTGAGCAGGGCTTTTAGGTATTCTGTGCTGCCGGCAAGGCTGGCATCTATGCAGGGAACACACGAGACCAAACTAATTGCAGCACACTCGTTAGGAGGCCAGCCTTGAGAGTAGACTGTAAGCTCACTTGGAACATCTGGAGGTATGACTTTGGGACCATACTCTCTGCTCTCTGAGTTCTGGGAACCCCCGGAGAAATGCAGATTCCAGGTCCACCTGCAGCAGGTCATGACTCTAAGATATTTTGTAGGCTGAGCACTTAAGTGTCTCTAAAGACCATGTCAAGTCGGCGTCTATGTCTTCTCTGTGTCGATGAAGCACTTCATACGTTGGAGGGTATATGCACAGGACAGTTTTCTGTTTTCTTTCATTTAGAATCACATCACAGTTTCAGTTCAGCCCCAGATACTCAGACCCCGGGGACCATAGCCTACCCTCTAGCAAGGTCTTTTCCGGTCACTGTCACCGATTGTTGAAAATCATGAATTCTCGCACATTATAAGTTTCACCACCAAATTACAGTTCAGGTGGTCCCAGCGCCCAACCAAGTATCCTCAGCTCTACTCCAGCAAGCGGCTCCCGTGATGTAAAGAATCTGACCAATTAGGAGTTTTATCATGCCGACAGAGCACAGCAAAACACAGAAATGATTAGATTGCATTTTTCACACTTAAGAAAGGCCATTCTAAATAAAAAATGCTTTCCGTATCTAGGATGGCTGTGCTTTCTCCTTGAGGTGGCCTTCCGGCACATGTTTGCCTCTGCACCCCGATGGACACATTCACTGTGCCACCAAAGTGGTCTCCGCCTGCCTTTGTCATCTCCCAAGGCAGAGCTCAGGAAGCAGAAGGAGTGCAGTGAGCACTTTCTGCTGCTGGTCCTGAATAAACTGTGGCTGGCCCCAGGGAGGCTGCCATCTGCGTGAGGAATTCACATGGAATATTAAAACGTCCCGTCTATTTTAGAGTCTCACCTGCACACCGTCCTTTCCGTGCTAACTGGCCAGAAAGGGATATCTGGCCTGTGCCCTAGGTTTAGGCCCAACTGTCAGCAAAACCAACTTCTGTGCCAGTGCAGCCCCGGAGCAGGCTGGGCACGCTGGAACAAGGTGGGGGTTCACTCGTTCCCCCTTTCCTGGATCCCAAGAGAGGCAGCAGCTGCGGGCTAAAAATGGCAACCCAGTACATTTCATGCGTTGATTCATCTTGATAGGGTGTCTTGAATTTGTTCACATGAAATTCAATTGTGTACTTATTATCCCTCTTACTAATAAATCTGCTGGTACAGGGAGGTCTTCTGTCATATTAGGAAATCTGTTTTTAATCAGTTTTTTGATTTAATTGTCATTATTAAGAGGAAGCCTCTTAGTTTGATTGCATTGAAGAATGTCTAATTCCCAGTCCAGGCACCAGGCGGGAGCAGCGGCCAGGGACAGAAAGGGAAGCTGTTCCTGGGTTTACCTCCACCAGAGCAACTCTGGGGTCTCTGCAGCTGGAAGAATGAAATGTCTCTTGTGACGCTTCTAAAGGTCAGCGTCATCTCCCCGCTTGGAAGTGAAGTGTTGGCGTGGATATCTTGTGACAGCAGTGTCGGCAGAGAAGCGATTATTTTTAGTTTTAAGGAAGGATGAATTTAGTTTTCCTTTCCAAACAAGAATATCCTTCAGGACTATAGATCACACATAATTAGATTTTTGTGTTTTGCAGTAAGGTTCTCAATTGCCTATAAAGGCGATATTCTTACCTTAAAAATGTGTGTGCTCTAACATGACCCTTTGCCTACAGAACAAGTTACATCTAAACATTCAAAACTCCACGAAGGTGAACGGGGAAGTCTGTTCTGGGAGTGAGGGGCCTCAGCATTCAGGAGCCCACTGGACACCTCCGGTGGGGACCCCAGGGCTTTCCATTTGAAAATCCGTCTTTGGGGGAAGTGGCCTGCTGGCGAGGAACCAGTCACTTTGATCTGGAAGCCAGCAGGCGCCTTTCAGCCGGCTCCACTCTCCGCTGGGGTGCATTGCTCTCTCTAGACCGTTAACCAAGAAATAAGGAGAGAACGAACGTCGCCTTCTGTGTTTTTCAGATTCCATTTTTGGCCGAAGGGATCAGGATTCATGGAGACAAAGTCACAGAGGCACTGAGGCCGTTTCATGAGAGAATGGAAGCCTGTTTCAAGCAGCTGAAAGAAAAAGTGGAAAAGCAGTATGGCGTCCGCACCATGGTAAGTGGGCCGTGACTCGGGAGAAGGGCTGTCCGGCTATGATGGGCTTGGGGCACAGGACAGGAGCAGGTGATGCCCACAGAGGTGGTGGGATTGGAGGGATCCCGCTCAGCCCCTTGGCCCATTAGTTGGCCACTCAGCAACCTCCTTCAGTAGCTGGAAATGTCAGAGTGAGGCAGAACTCCTGGACTTGCTTGACCTCCAGATGCCCTGTTTACCTGCTCTAAACACCATCCACCTTGGCGTCAAGGAGCCAGGGAGAAGTCTCACAGAGGCCATGGGGCTTGGCTGGCTGACAGAGCCCATTCCCACAGGCACAGGACACACAGGACTAACTAACCCTCGGGGCAACAGTACTCATGACATCTCAAAGCACTGGTGGAGCTACCCAGTCCAAGGTCAAACCCTTGACCATAGCCATGAAGGCAAAAGTGGTAGACTCCTGATGTTTGAAATTATCGCCAAGACTCACTTATGGGAGGAATGGAAATGACCCAGGCCGAGAAGGAGGCAGGGATTGAATGGCAGGCCAAGGGACGCAGGCACGCCTTGGGCAGAAGAGAAATCAAAGGCAGCAGCTGGGAAATCACTCTGCCTCCAAGAGCCTGGGCAGTTGGGGGGCAGGAGACTGCTGTGATGGGGGCCGAAAAGCACTTTTGTGATGAGTTCATAAAAGGGGCTGGGGTCAGGAGCACAATGGAAGAGCAGTTGAGGTTTGATGCAAAAAAAAAAAAAACTGTGTGGTTTCATTTCTGTAGATGAGCCCCTGCCGGGCATGACTGAGCCCTGCATCTTCAAGCCAGGGCCTGATGTTCAACAGATGAGAGTGTTCTTATTCCTGGGCCCAACAGGGTTTGAGCCTGTGAGCCAACAATGACACACTGCAGGTTTGGCTCTGAAAACCCAGCAGGTGGGAAGCTGGGACTGACAGGCCAGCGGGCGCCCCCGCAGGTAAACAGGCTTGGAAACCAGGGCTCTCCGCAGTGCTGGAGGACCCTTCCTGCAAGTCAGAATCCTTGAGTAGTGCTTGATAGCTTGGGAGCTGGCAGCTCCTTGCAATCAGAGTGGAGTGGCAAGGAGAGTTTCAGAGTGCGTCAGAAGGCAGCTCTTTCAAAATGTGATGCCACTTTTAATTCTTTCTAAGAAATAAACACTTGTGTCTTCTCAAAGTTTCTTACCAAGTGAAAAGCTTCCTGTTTCATCAACCGTTTTATGCATATTTCAAAACTACAGAAAAGTGTCGAACTCACCATGCACTTTCCATACCTCTGTCTCTGCACTCACCGTTATCTCTGAGTGAGCTTGCCATAGGTCACAGCGGGGAAGAGCAAGAGTAGGAGGCGAGGGTGATGTGCAGAAAAACTGGCTCCCTACCTGAGGACAGGTGTCCTCTGCTCCAGGCAGCTGCCCTTAGCTGAAGGTTAGTGACTCCCACCACACTCAGTCAACATCCTCCTCACCAAACCTTCCCTCTGTGGGGCAACCAGGGTCCCTGATGCTTGCTGGGAGGGGGATCCAGGGCAGAATTTAGGGAGTGCTTCCCTCCCTTGGGTGCTGTGACCCTAGGAGCTGCCTTCCTGGGCCCCGGGCCCTGGGTCTCCAGAGGATAACCTGCAGCCAGCCTTCTCTGAGCAGGCAAAGAGTCAGGCCCGTGGCCTGTCATTCACTGAGAAATGCAACAATAAAAGCAATTTGGAATGTGTCCTTCCTGTCTTAACTGGCTTTGAAGCTTGCAAGCAACTCAGAAAACAATATGGTACCATCCTGCTTCCAAAAGGATGGATTTAAAAATTAAAAAAAAAAAAAAACAAAGAAAGCACATAAACCATTCTGTCAATTTTTGTGAGCCAGCCTAAGCCTCAGGAAGAGATTTGGACACCCTCTGACTCATAATACACTGGCCTCTGGCCCCCTCGCTCTGGCCTTCACCTTGCCAGTCCTGGGGCTCTAAGTGGCCACCATTCTGAGGCTGAGCCACAGGCCCAGGGGCCCGGGGAAGAAGGCCAGCAGCTTTCAGCACTGGGTAGGGCCCAGGTTTGCCTTTGTGCCAGTGAAAACTTCTGCATTTCTCATCCTGTCCTCTGCCTCTGCCTTCAAGTCTGGTGCAGGGGACCTTGCCAGTCTCCTCCCTCTCTCCACCTGCTCAGCTTAACCACCACAGGGGGCAGGTGCCACTTAGAACCTCCAGACCCATCTCTCCAGCCTCCTCCTACAAACCCACCATGGAGGCCTCCAGGCGGCCCTATTGTCCCCCTCCCCAGCCTGGCCGCCAGCACACCTTGCCCAGTTGGTCAGAACCCCCAGACCAGCTCTAGTGGCATCACTGCTAGAGTGATGCTGGGGTGCCCCCACTGCCTTTGCATCACAGACCCCTGGCCTGGCCCCTGCCTCCCCTCCCAGGGAGCAGCATGTCACCCTCTGGGACTAGCCCAAGCTCGGAGTTGAGTAACATGTGGAAAGAAGCATTTTCAGGAAACCATGAAATATGCCTGCTTCTCCAGAAGCACTGGTCACCTTGATTAAATTCTGCCAATGCACCCCGTCCCCAATCCATGACTCGGTGGGCAGTTAGCTCCTGTGGTCAGGCTGGATATTCCAGTCCTGCTGGGAGGTAACCATGCAGAACTCAGAGGCACTGGGCAGGGCCAGAGGGTCGCTCCTGCCAAGACAGCTGAAATGAGTGGTTGCTTCAGGCCAGATAGCGCCAGCAGCAAGGACGAGGCGGTGGCTGCCCCTTGTGCTGGGCCACCAGCCTCCAGCCGCACCATCCATCGATCCTCACCCTGCTGGAGGTGGGAGGATGATTCCCTTGGTGCTCAGGAGGACACAGGCTCACAGGGCTTCCTTATTTTATGCAAGGTCATGCCGTCAGTGCCAGAGTCACCAGTCCACCCTGTTCCGGTTCCCCCACTCCTGGGACCTGCAGATAGCAGCCCACTCGTGTTGTCCTGGCCCTGGAGCTAGCTATACCTAACGGTACCGGGCGAGGCTCTAATTGCTTCAGATGAATCAAATGAAAGTCCTTTTCCCATTTTCTAGAGTCTCTGCTCAATCAAGAAGACATTGTGAAGCAAGTGACCTAGTAAAGCCACAGCTACCCTGTGGGGTGCCACAAGTGTGGGCACCCAGGAGTGGCCCCCGCCCCTGCCCCGTCCTCCCTCATTTATCCATCGCAGTGCCTGCTCACATCCCAACAGGCTCCAGGTCACCTTCCAAGGGCATGGCCAGCCCTTGGTGGTGGGTGATGGGAGGTTCCAGGCTGCCTTCTGACCCTCCCAAGAGCCAGGTTGGGCTGTCCTCACTGGGTGCCTCCACCTCCTGGCCTCTGGCTGACCACCACCTGCCCACTGCCCAGGTCCTTGTGGCCACTGTGAAGACCACTTCCCTAGTGATGTGTCAGCTGGTGTGTGGGTGCTCCCGGCAGTGGGGCTGCTGGCCAGCGCCCCAGGACGAGTCCCCGACTTCAGCTCAGCAGCATCTCCCGGGCACTGCTCCTCCTGCTGGGGCACAAAGGCGGCCCCCCTCCAGGCCACAGAGACTCACCTGGGTCTGTGGCTGCTGGCTCTTCCTTCTCCCCCACCTGCATCCAAGGGGACCGTGTGGAAGTCAAGGCAGAGCGTGCTCCAGGGCAGGCAGGAAGGCAGCTGCTGCACAGTCATGGGGTGGCCGTGGGTGTCCAGAAGCCCACCCACTCACGCCTGCACCTGTGGAAGAAGTGGCCAGAGAAAGACCGCGGCTGCCAGCCAATCTCACTCAAATGTGAAGAGGGTCACGGCCCTGGAGATGGCAGAGAGAAGAGGCAAGGGCCTGGTGGGCGGGATTGTGCCCGGGTGACCAGTGAGTGCCCGGGTAGACCTGGAGTCGCCGACAGAGCTCTTTCCTGGATCATTGGGAATAGCAAGGACACAAAACCAGTCTCTGGGTCCAGCCAAGAGGCTGAGGGGGAAAGCCTCGAGGAACAGAGGAGCCGGGGGCTACAGAAAGGTTGTGAAAAGGAGGGGTGACGGCTCCGAGCCCCAGGTTGAGTAGGGGAACCTTTTCACCTTGGGAATAATCTATAGGTACTGTTCTGAGTTTCCACATAGAGGCTGATCGGTTACAAGGGACATCTCCATGGAGATGTCCACTGGCTCCCTCATGGGGCTAGTGCAGAAGGCTCTCTGTTGCCACATTCTAGCTGCAGCCGCTTTGGACCAGTGGTGGTCAGACTGTGGCCTGCAGCCTGCTCTTGTGAGTCCGGCTCTCTTGGCACAGGCCACACTCATCTCTGTCTCGTTTGCGGCTGCCTTCGTGCCGTCATGGCCGAGTGCACTGGCTTTGATAGAGGCCTTGGGGCTGCACACCCTGAGCACTTGTTATCTGGTCCTTTAAGGAAACGTTAGCCACGTCCTACCCTCTTGTAGTTCTGAACTTTTTGCTGTTGGGAAGGAGCTTTAAAGTCAAATCATATTTCATTTGGAATCACATGTTGAGAAACAGACCCAGCCTTCCCTCCTGAGGGCCAGAACATGGTCCATCCCAGGTCACCTGTAAGTGGCGAGCTGAACGAGGTGTGGCATGGGCAGGGTGGCAGGGTGGGAGGCTGAAGTGGCAGGAGGACATGGCCTCCAGGAGAGTGGCTCCCATGTGCTCGGGTTGAAGTGCTGTGCAGCAGCTGCAGCCGCAGATGTGCCAACGTCTGGCTCAGGATGCAGGTACACGAGCCCTTCCTGGCTCATCAGAGGTGGGCACATGCTGTGCTCAGTGACGCCGGGTTCTCTCTGTGCTGAGCAAGATGCCAAGGGAGTGCACAATTCCACGCAGAGACCGTCTTCCCAGAGCGTCCGTCCTCTGCTTAGCCACGAGGAGGAGCCTCCGCAACTCAGGCCGTGGCTTCCTCTAATTCCTGCCCCGTCACTCACAGAGGAAGTCCACCTTGGAGCCAGAGGCAGGAGCCTCTTTCTGTAGCTGGAGAAGTCCCCTGTGGACATGCAGAGATGTGCCGAGTTCACCCAGAGACCCGCCGTTCTTTAATCTGGTGTCTCTAGACGCTTCACTCTCTGCTCTGTGCCTTCTGTGGAGCAGGCTGGTACGTCTCCGTCTCAGGAGTTTAAAATGGAAAGACCAAGAATGTTCTCTCTGTTATTTTTTACGTTGGGTCAGTTTTCAGATAATCATTACTTTCCTCCCCAGTTCAGAACAGGTGACGGTTAACAAAAGTGTGGGCCCTTGGGGTCCAGAGGCCACGCAGCTGTCTGGCCGTGGCAGGCCCGGGCGTCACACACCTCCCTCTCTGTCCCTCTCAGCCCTCAAGTCTGGACGACAGAAGAGGCAGCCGTCCCCGGTCCATGGTGCGGTCCTTCACCATGCCCTCCTCCTCCCGGCCCCTGTCCGTGGCGTCTGTCTCTTCGCTCTCTTCCGACAGCACCCCCTCCAGGCCGGGCTCCGACGGGTGAGTGCGCAGCAGGGGCCACGGGCCCCTGGGTGTTTATCACACGGAGGACTTTTGCTCAGTGGCTTCTCTCTTTGAAACAGCTCCTCAGGACACTATGGCCATCGTGCCAACGTGGCTCTCAGGGTCTTGTGGTGGTTGGGAAGGGGTCCTCACTTCAGCTGGCCCTTGGGGCAAGGTTCCCATCGAACCTCAGACCGTCAGGTGGGTGGCGTCCTCCTGGGCCAGCCTCGGGAGCAGCGTGCCGCCGCAGTGTGCGGGCCCTCTTCATCTCACACTCATCTCCAGGTCGTCCCGGGGCCCGGCTGGTGTGGTCCAGCCTGGAGCAGCCTCCGCTTGTCCACCAAGCTGGCTGGCACTCAGTGAGGCTCACATGACAAGTGGCGTGCTGCCTCCTTTTATTTTGGAGAGAAGAATTTTATAGATTCACTTTTGTTTCTGATGAGTTTATTTTAAAGGGAAATGCAGCTGAGCAGGGGGTGCACACCTGAAATCCCATGGCTCTGGAGGCTGAGGCAGGAGTATCTCAGTTCAAAGCCAGCCTCAGCAACTTAGCGAGGAGCTAAGCAACTCAGTGAGACACTTTCTCTAAATAAAATACAAAATAGGGCTGGGATGTGGCTAAGTGGTCGAGTACTCCTGAGTTCAATCCCTGGTACAAAAAAAAAAAAAGTGTGTCAGGGGGAAATACTGTTTAAGTTGCATACTTCTGAGAACGATCATCTGTCTGTCCTGTTCTGGAAAATAGGAAGCATATTATCCTTTGTTTTCCCAATTTATTTTATGGTGGCAGACACCATAAAACTACCTGTGTCACCATGTTGAGGTTAAGTGGCATCAAGTGCACTCACATTATTGACAGCTGTCACTACCACCCACCTCTAGAACTTTCATCTCATGAAACTGAAACTGTATCCTTAACTAAGACTCCTTTTCCGCCCTTCCCCTTCCCTGGCAGCAGCTACTAACACACATGAGTGGCATTATGAGCCACATTCTTTCTGCAGACCTCGGGGGAGACCTATTCTTGCTCCAGAGAGCACAGAGTAACCAAGAGGGAACGTGAACCTACTAATGAGACTAGTTAACGAGCACTGAGCACACACTGTGGCTTCTGAATTACCTCAGATCACTGCAAAGACCTCAATGATGATCTTTTTGTGTGTTTTTGAGGAGAAACCACGTGGTTGGCAACCAGTCACCCTACCCAGCACAGCCTCCCTTCCCCTGCCCACATACGCTTCCAGAGAATCCCAAGGGACGGCTCAACCCTAAGTGTTCTTTGTTGCCAATGATTAATGTGCCCAGAGGAGAATTCCAAGCTATACCCACATTTTTTTCTGAACAATAATTTTTATCAGTCAGTGTCTGATATTTATAAGGCCAAAGCCATATGGAAATTCTCAATTTAGAGAGGTTTAAATCTTGTGTGCCTGTCACTTAGAACAAGACTGATACAGAAATTAAATGCAGCTGATCTTCCGGAGAATCTCCAGGCTAGTTAGGAAAAGGCGTCTGTATTTCTGAGCACTCAGGGTGAGGTAGGTAATGGCTGTGGAGTTTTAGATGAGAAGGGTGCATTCAACGGGCTCCACCCCAGCCTGCATTTGTTTAACCTTGAACTCATCTTTATTAGAGTCCAGATTTTTGTTCATTCTTGGAATTACCATCCTCCACTATCTAACTAACATGGCGAAAATGAGGTTTGGTCTCAAGTGGCACAGGTTCCATGCAGAATAAAGCTCGCCCTGCCAGCAATTGCTTCTCATAATATGGAAAAACTAAAACCACCTGTCTTTCTCTCGGGTTTGTTTGTTTTTTGGTTTTTTTTTTTTTTGTGTGTGTGTGTGTGTGTACCATTGGAACTGCACAGCATAGTTCTCTTTCCTTGGCAGGAAGATGTCCACTATCCTTTTGTGCTCATTTAAGTGTCTCAAGTTCTGCAAAACCTGGAACAAAATTATGGAGATTTTGGTGTTGCTTAAATTGTATTAGATATCATATTTAACACCAATAGCTGTAGATTTATTGGTTATTATGTATCCTGTTGCAAAGCCAGGTGTCTCAAAATGCTTTCAGGATTAAAGTCAATGTTGGTATATTTCATCGAACGTTTTTAATTCTTTAAACTTTTTATTATGGAATATATTCAGACATATACAAAGCAGGCAGAATAGTATAATGAGGCCCCACTCCCCCATCAGCCAGCCTCAACAATTACCCACCCCTACACTCTCTTGTTCTCATCTGGAACTACCCATTCCCACCGTATACTTGATTTCGCAGTAAATTTCAAAGATCATATTTTATTCACAGACATTCCAATTTGAAGTTCTAAAAGGTAAGGACTCTTTTTTACCAAATATAACTATGTCACTTCATGACCACACAGAACATTAACAGGAATTCCATATTATCAGGAAACAGTGTTCATTTCTCATTGTCATAAACATATTTTTTGAAATAAGAGCAAAATAGGTCCTTAACTTGCATTTGGTTGCTATTAACTGTTTATGCCTCTCTTAATCCACTTAAATTTTTTTCTTCCTTGTAATTGACTCGTTGAAGGGTCAAGGTGCCACGTCCTATTGTGTCCCTTTGCTGGTTGCGTGCCCTGCAGGGCTGTGTGACATGTATCTGTGTCCTCCACTTTCCTGCATGCTGGACCAGAGGGCTTCACAGCGCACGTTCTTCCATTCAGCACATCAGAGCAGGTTTCTCTGTTTTGGTGATGTTAACAGCGACAGTCAACAACAGGGCAACACCATTCCTGTTAGACACACCTTTCAACAGACCCTCCTGCATAGCCCTGTCAGGAGGGAAGGTCAAGATGCAGGAGGTGTGATTCTTGCTCTCTGCCATCTGTGTCTTCAGTGGACTTTAGATGCAGTTTTGTGAGTGCCCGTCGGAGGGTTGCTTTCCAGGGGTCACATTCCACGTGGGGGAGCCAGGCTGGGATTGCTGCCGAGGCTTTGTTCCAACTGTCCTGATCAGAATAAGTTTAAGAGAAAGCACGGCTAAGACAAAACAGTGACCAGCTTTCTCAGTGCCCTCCTCGTGAAACCACGGTCCCTTTGAAGGAGTCGGTCGATTCTGCAAGGTGGAGGCAGGCAGGTGTGGAAGTTGCTATGAGGGTGGAGAGCGCCAAGGCCCAGCTCGGGGTCTGGCTGGGTCTCACTGCAGGGCTGGGATTTTGCCCTTCCACATGGCTTGGAGACCACCTGGACTTTGGGCATCTAAAGTAAGGGGACCTCCTCCTGTTGACCTCCTCTTGATCGTGTGGAACTGATGTGGAGACCACAGTTTAAAAAGACATGCTTGATGTACAATTATCATGCACCAATAAAAAAAATGTTGTGGGGGACATGTTTATCAGAAATCAGAATGCAGGCTCTTTCCCATGTGACTGGTGGAGTATAATTCCTTTAAGAGATCACACATTTTTTTAAATTTGTTTTTTAGTTGTTGATGGACCTTATTTTTTTTTTATTTATTATAGGTGGTGCTGAGAATTGAACCCAGTACCTCATACATGCAAGGCTCTACCATGGAGTCTCAACCCAGCCCCAATCACACATCTTTTTAAGTGCTATTTCCATGTGCTATATTTTGACAACAGAATGTGCCAGGAGTAATAAGACCTTGCCTATAGATTGTGCTGTAAGTTCTTCAGGTGTTTTGATGCTTTTGGCCATTTTGGCCCTCTCTCCCCACTCCTTTTTCAAGCAGAAGCTGCAGATCAGGGAGATTCCCATCTTAGCATTGCACCGTTTCTCTCCTTCCTGTTGTGACTTGCTAGGAGGAAGAACCCGGTGGGCATGTGCTGAGACAGCCATATGCAGGGGAGCAGCTGTGTGTCACGGTGTGCTTTCTAGCCTTGGGCCACGTGCCTTGCAAACTAGCACAAGAGCCACTTACTCAGTAACCACCAATGGGACTTGACACCGACCTCAGTCCCTTCGTGAGAACACGAGACCTATAGCATAAAGTCACAAGGATGTCAAGGTCCATGAGCAGGTACCAGGCTCCGATCCTGGTCCTTGGTCTCTGGCTCACTTGTGACTGAAAACTCAGGGGCACCTCCAAGCATCTGTGAGCTAGAATTCCCTGCTTCCCACTGAGCCATCCAAAGGGCTTGTACCCGGAAGCCACCCCTATATCTATCATCAGAGAAACTTGGTCAGAAGTCAGCTACCAGAAATGTCTTCTCACTGGCATCTGCATATTTTTCCTTGTTGTATTTGTAAATATATCAGGAATTTCTAAGTCTACCCAGAATACCATCATGAATCAACAGAAGTCCTCAGGGTCATCGTAGAATGTCCACTTGTCGTCACATTTCCCTGTGTCCTGAGTGTTCCTTTGTGTCTTTTGCTTCCCTGGGATCACAGACGGTGCTTACGCTGGGCGCCCAGGGTCTGACTCTCCTGGCCTCTCTCTGCGGTCACTCCTCTCCTCCGGGAAGCCTGCAGGCCTTCTGCCCCCCATGCCTGGAAGTGGCCTTGCAGACCCTGCAGGAGAAGAGCCACTGCTCTCCTGGGAGACCTCATAGATTCCCGGAATTCTTCCTTTTAGGTTTGCCCTGGAGCCTCTGCTGCCAAAGAAAATGCACTCCAGGTCCCAGGACAAGCTGGACAAGGACGACCCAGAGAAGGAGAAGAAGGACAAAAAGAAGGAAAAGCGGAACAGCAAGCACCAGGAGATATTCGACAAGGAATTCAGACCCACCGACATCCCCCTGCAGCAGTCGGAGGCCGTGATCCTCTCGGAAACGGTAACGTGCCGGGCGGGGGGATCTGGACCTGCCTCACTCCTCATGTAGCTGATGGGACTGTAAACTGGAGAGCCTAGGGTCCCCCCCGAACCCTAACCATGAATAACTTACCCAGTAGCCATCGGAAGGCCAGAGGCGAGGCCTCTTTCCTCCTCCTCCGTCCTGAAGGGGCTCAGGTGGGTGGTCTCCAGCAGGGCCCTGGCGTTCCTCGGCTCTTTGTCCTGCTGTTGGACTTGGTTCCCCCATGCGTCCTGGTATCCCAGCAGAGGCGCAGGCTTGCTCTTGCTGTCGAAAGGCCTGCTGCATGTCAGCTAGTGCCTCTCCCACGCCCCTTCCTGACCAGAAATCTCTAAGCCATGGTCATGCCCGAGAGCTGCAATTCGCTCAGCCAGAACCCAGAAGTCCCTGCCTTCTGGGTTCCACCAGCTGACCTGTGCTCCTGTTATGCTCCCACCTCTTCTACTCCACATCCAAAATCTCTCGACCATCACTGATAAGGATTTGCTGGGACTTAGTAGGACATGTGCAGATCCCAGTGAGTGCCCTCCATTCCAGGCCATGACATCCACAGGGCCTGCTCTCCTGGGCGGGCTGGGGCTGGGCCTCCCAGAAGCACACCACAGTCTTTGGGATCCAAGTGAAAAATTAAGGCCCAGACTGCTTCAGAAAGTGCTGTTTGGGGAGCAGAATGAAAATCAAGAGACGGTCTCACAGGCTGTCAGTGTGAAGATGAGGTCGGGCTTGCAGCCACCTTCCCCTGAAGACAGATGGGCACGCGCCTCTCAGCGGCCAGTAGTCATCTTCCTGGGTGGCTCTTGACCCAGCCAGCTCTGTCTTGGCTGTGATTAAAAGGTTGCCTCATCAAAGGGCTCAGAAGGGACTGAAACTTTAATCAGACATACTTACCCACTTGTTTGTGTCTCAACCACCAGAGAATAATGCCCATCTCCAACTGCAGTCACATGCTGCTTGCCTGTCTGGAGGCACAAGGCAGAGGCCTGAGCCTTGACGTGGCTTAGGAAGGCACGCACCCTCTGAGGCCTGTGGACTGTGCTCTGACTGCTGCTAGGCTACAGTGTCTTAGTGACACAGGCAACTGGCCAAGAACTTCAACTCCGGAGGCACTGGCCGAGGCTAGCCCTGGCACTGGGGTCAAGAGACTTAGAGATTTCTGACGCCAGTGCTGAGGAGGCTGAGGCAGGAGGATCACAAGTTTGAGGCCAGCCTGGTCAACGTAGGGAGACTCTGCCCCAAAATAAAGTACATGGAGCTCAGTGGTAGAGAGCCACTGGGTTTAATCTGCAGCACTGCACACACACACACCAAGACGACAGTGACGTTTCTGATGAACTGTCCCTGTGTTCTCTGTCCACTGTCCTGGAAAGCTGGGGTACCAGGGCCCCTAGCAGGCCCAGATCTCCACTGTACGAGTCTCATGTGTTTTTACTCAAGCTCCATGAACAGAGACCTCTGAAGGGGAGCAGTGTGCAGAGTCGCACTGTCCAGATGTGTGCAGAGTCCAGGACTCAGGGCGCTGTGCCTCCGCAGTGAGGTTTCCATCCCTCCCTATGGTGTGCCTGCAAGGACACCTGCAAACACGGGGCCAGGTGCACAGCACCAGGGCCTCCCACACTGGCTCTAGGCACCCTCAGCAGATCCACAGGAACCCAGCAGGGTCAGAGCACAGAACCCTGACCTCACAGTTAGACTGACCATGGCTGCAGCACCAGGAGGCCAGGAATCCTGACAGCAAGCAGTCCAGCTAGGTGTCTGTGCACGAGGGGCCTCCTCTCCAAGGCACAGGTGCTGGCAAGGTCTGCAAGGACAACTGGGCTCCATGGAAGGCGGGGAAGGAGGGCCAGCGCTGCCTTGGAGGGTGCTTGACTGGGGAGAAGCTGCAGTTCCTTCCTGGGTGTCCCCAGTGCCCCCTACTGCTCCCTGGGCTCCTAAGGTTGCCAGTGCCCTCCCCATCCTCATGGGCCTCCCCAGCTTCTGCGAAGGTTTCCCCCTCACTCCTTGGGGCTGGGCCCAGCTTGATTTGAAACATCAACAACTTCATGACCTTTACCTGAGCCTCTCTGAGCTGGACCTCCTGACGCCATCCGCATCTCCCCATAAGGCCTCCTTGCACTCCCTGACTCAAAGGTGCCCACTGTGGGATGGGCAGGGAGGAGTGGGAGGAGCTCGTGACAGTGTGCATGTCCACCCACATGCAGGGAGGCTGCCAGACTCGGCCTTCTTGCAGAGGAGGGGTGGCACCTGGGCTGGGCCCCCATGGCCACAGGTGGTTCTAAAATGGATTGCTCATTACCAGATGGGCTACCCCTTCCCGGGCCCGGCCCCCTCCCGCCAGCCTCCTAACCTCCAGACTGGCACTGGCCTTGATGGCTCTTCTGGGGCAGATACTGCAGCCCACCTGCTCTTGAGAACCAGCTCGGCCCACCCACCAGGCCGCTGGATCAGGCTGCAGCAAGCCCAGAGCCCCACCTACCCACCCTTCCTGGGGGACCGTCTCCACTCCTGCTGTTTGGCGGGGTTAATAACTTTTCTGATTACTCCTTCCATAGAGTATTTTATAATTGCTCATGTTCCCTGAGGCCTAATGACCTGCAAACAGCTGTAAGAAATATATAAATTAAATTTACTGATGTAACCAACCCAGGAAGGGCTCAGGTGGGGAGAAGTCAAGTGCATCCAGAAGTCAGGAGTGAGCAGGAAGGGGAGAGGAACAGAATTCCTGGTGGCGCAGCAGGAAGGAAACAAAGGAAGGGAAAGCAGAAAGCCCGCAGGAAGCCACTGGACTTGGTCCCTTCCTGACCCTTGGAGGCGCCCTGGGTGTCTCACTCAGCATCTGAGTGGCTCACCGTGCTGCTCTGGGACATTCTGTTCCAGATGGCTGTGCAGTGCTGTCCACCCTAGGAGGACAATAGATAGGCGTGAGTGTTGTGGGGTGGGCTGTGGAACAAGGCTGTATGTGTGTGTATGGGGGGTATATGGCTCAGGCAACAGAAGTCTGTTTTCCCCGGTTCTGAGGGCTGAAGTCCAAGATCAAGGTGCTATGGCGTTGCTTCCTTCTGTGGCTGTGAAGGAGAATTCGGTCCTCATCTTCCCCTAGTTCTGGTGGTTTGCCAGTATCCTTGGTGGTTCTTGGTGCAAAAACATCAGCCACCTCTGCTTAAGTCTTCCCATGACACTTTCCCTGTTTTATAAGGACCAGTCGTATTGCACTAGGGCCCACCTAAGGACATTGTCTACCTGGATCAGTTCTAAAGCCCCTGTTTTCAGATACACGTTCTGGGCTCGGAGGGCTAGGAATGCAGCATAGGAATTTGGCGGGGAGACGACTCGGTCCATTGCAGGCCTAACTGTGCTTTTTCTGTTCCTCCATTGTAGATAAGTCCCCTGCGACCCCAGAGACCGAAGAGCCAGGTGATTAGCATCATTGGAAGTGAAAGGCGCTTCTCAGTGTCCCCGACGTCACCGTCGTCCCAGCAAACACCCCCTCCAGTCACACCAAGGGCCAAGCTCAGCTTCAGTGTTCAGTCCAGTAAGTGGAGTGTTGCCTGTACTGGACACAGACTGTGCCTTGCTCTGTGACCCCCGATGGATGATTCCACAGTGAGGACCAGATGGGCCACCCCTTCCCGGGGCACAGCCCCCTCCTGCCAGCCTCCTAACCTCCAGACTGGCATTGGCCTTGATGGCTCTTTGGGGGCAGATGGGATGGAGAGTGTGGGCCTATGGAGGGCCCTGGGATGAGCACCTGACCCGTAGGATGTCCCTGGCGTGGGCTGGGGATCTGGACTCCAACAGGTCAGGCCCAGCCCAGTCCAGGGCTGCAGAGCTCCGAGGCCGAGTGCGGGGGTCTGTGCAGGCTCTGTACCCTCCTTGGAGGGACTTGACAGGTGCAGGGGCAGCCCCTTCCCTCATCACCGGGTCCTGAGGCTCTCCGGGGTCCTGGGCCTTCGGGTCTGGGAGGAATGTGGAGTGAAGAAGCTCTTCCAGGTGGGACGGAAGGCAGAGCAGCAGAACTTATTTTTTCTGGTTTGTACCAATTTCTACAGCCGCCACACAATTACCACAAAGTGGGTGGCTCACACTGACGGAATGCACTCTCACGTGTTCTGGAGGCCACAGTGTGAAATCAAGGTGTCAGCAAGTTGGGTCCTGTGTGGGCTCTGGGGGAGGATCCCGTCCAGGACTGCCCCCATCTTCCGGCTCTGGCAACCCCTGATGTTCCTGGGCTGTGGCCCATCACTCCGGTCTCTGCCTCCCTGCTCCCTGCCTCCCCTGCAGCTTCTCCTCTCATAAGGACACTAGTCACTAGATATAGGGTCCACCCTAAGTCCAGGACGATTTCATGTCAAGATCCTTAACTGATTACACCTGCGAAGACTAGGTCCAAGAAAGGTCACACTCAGAGGCTCTGAATGGACTTTGTAGGTCCACATCTTGGAAAGATACTATCCAACCCACTACAAGTGGTAACCAGCTCTTCACCACTGAGCTCAGACCCATCGGAGAGGAGGAATCCTGACCGGAAGGAGCAGGGTGAGGGCCACAGCAGAACAGGGAGCCTGCTCCTTCCCGGGGCCACCAGGCAGGAGAGCACTGCCCTACAGGGGGGCTGTGAGGCAGAGAACAAGTGTCCTTTGTGGCTGATTTTCTTCCTGCCTTGTGTCTGGAGACCGCCAGGTGCTGAGTGTCTTGTCTACGTAAGCAGCTCAGTGAGCAAAGGGTGTCTGGGCATGGGATAGAGAGGGGCTCAGGGGCCGACTCCACAGCCTTATGCTATTACTACATGATCTTTTTTGAAAAAATGGTTTTTCTTAGAACAGGCACCATTACCATGATTACAGAAGATAGTCTGGTGGTTCCCCAAAGGTTAAATGTGGCATTACCATATGACCCAGCAATGCTAGTACGAGGTCTGCACCCCCAAAGAATTGAAAACCGGGGTCAAACAGGTATTTTAATGTGAGCATTTGTAGCAACACATTCACAGTAGTCAAAAAGTGGAACAACTCGAGTGTCCATGAGCTGAAGAGCAGATGAATAAAAGGTGCTTTCGGAGAATATCTGTGCAATAGAACACTATTCAGCCATACGAGAGGCGTGGCGCCCCCACGCAGGCCGCCACATGACAAACCTGGAAGACAGTGAGCCAGTGGAATGAGTCGTCCTAATGGGGCCTCGGGACTCTGCTCGTGTGAGGTATCTAGAATGGCAGGCCTGTGGGGGCAGAAAGCAGAGCAGAGGTGTCCAGGTGCTGGGGGCAGGAGGTGGTCACTGCCTGACGGCTGCACCATACTGTTAGTATGATCCACACCACTGAATCGTGCACTGAAAGATGGTCAAATCGGCAAATTTTATGTCACGACTGTTCTACCACGATCCAATCCACAGTCACCACTCCTGAGGACAGAGCGTCTTGGAAGCCTCCTTCCTCCCTCCCCACTACAGGGCAGAGCTTCCCCGTCCCCCAGGGCACCTCTTCTGAGGAAGGATCTGTCATCAGTGGAAGCACTGGGGAGACTTTTGAGTCACACATCAGAGTTTCACTTTCTCTCCTTGATGTGAAAGAAAATGAATCGCCTCCAAGAGGCTACGCGGAGTTGAGGAGGTGCCCGCCTCGATGACCCAATGGAGAGGCCTTCTTTCCCGTTACTTTATCCATCGACTGTCCTCTCCACCTACGTAAAGCAGCAGCCCCAGTGACCGTGACCCCTGACACCTTCATGTCCCAGGGTGGGGGTTGTCCTGGTGAAAGTGGAAAGTGGGTGGAGGCTGTGTGTGTGGCTTTACTTGAGGGAGCTCTTCAGGCAGTGGGGGCAGGCCGGGGACGGGGCCCTGGGTCTGCAGGCAGTGGGGGCAGGCCGGGGACGGGG